TCTGACATGTTGTAAACTCCGGTGTTATAATGACAGTGCTGTGAGCCGATATTTAACACTTTAAAAAACTTCTTGCTTTCTTTAAAATGTTGCAAATTTTGCTTAGAACGCATCCTGTAAATTGTGGAGTGTAAATGTTTGAAACATTTGTTTACATTTGTCAACAAGTCTTAACATTTTTGTTGCGAAATTCTGTGTAGAGATGCTCTAAAAATTGAGGTTTGATTGGAAAACAACATTCCTGCCACGAATACAGTCTGAAACAACAAAAAGCTGTCGTAAAAACTCAAAACTACCGTCCTTTATTGTTCCCAACTTTTGTTTGGAACACAAGTTGTAAGTTCTGGTGTAAACGTGGTTTATGCTCATACAAACGTTTCCTTAAGCGAATTTCCCAAAAAAGGTGATTAGCTACCGTAGGTCTCATGGTATGATAGAGGCCCGGGGCCGATTTACTTTTTCATTTTGATAAATATATTTTATTATATGGAAATTCTCTAAAAGCAATTTCATATTCAAAAGTTTGTTTACATTTTCCAATTTGAAATTGAGAAAACCCTGCTATTTTATCTGTTTATTTACTCAAACTAAATCACATCGGGGTTGTTTGGTTGAAAAAATTAAATAACTAACCAACGATGTTGTACACAAGAACTTTTGCCAGCAGAAATGACAGTAAAAACCTGAAAAAAATATTTTGAAATTAAGCCTGTTGAATTTTTATGCGATGTAATTGTGCAATATCCTTAATCATGTAGTGTCCGTGAAGTCAAACCATTATTTTATCCGCGCAATAAGTAATTACCGAATAAAACGTTAAAACACCTACAGAAACACAACACAACCACTATCTCGTAGCTGCGGCGGCGGCGGGCTGTGTGGAGCGAGAGAGACAGAGACAGCCGATAGCGCGGTGGTGGGGGAGGTTATTTGTGTCCCCACTCCACGCGCCACCAGTCCCACCGTGCGGTAGGTCAGGGTCATGACGTCACAACCGTACACCAGCGACAAGCTCCTCCACGTGGAGCCTCTCCGGACTATCAGCGGGTCGTTGGACTTTGGTAAGGGAGCACTCGTGTCAACAGAATTTTGGCAGCGTCGGGCGTCTCCGGAGCTCATCGGCTACCCTCGGCCTTCCGAAGTAAACACTTGGGCGATACAATACGTCTTCTGCTACCGTCAAGGGTTGTTGCGTGCTTTAGGCTCTGGTGGATGATAATTATTTAATTGCCGATACGTTGCGGAAACGTGAAAAATCGCGCGGAAGTAGTCAGTGCGTTGCGGAGCTTTTTGTGAAATTTTGTCCTAGGTCAAGATATGACGCCCAGTGAATAAGGTAAGGAAATTTAATTTACTATTGCAGTGTTATTATAATAACTGACCTATCCCACTTTGGTAAACTAATAATAGGAATTTAGTATAGTAGTTTTATAAAAAAATTAGTGACTAATATCGATGTAATTTTCCGTTGTTCAGGTAGGAAAAAGATGCATTTTATAAGCAATTCTGTCATAGAAAGACAATAGTGACAATTTTATTATTGCAGGAAGTAAAGTTAAATTGAGGTAGTTCCAACCTTATACTTCCACCGTTTTACCTCTACTTGACTTAAAAGTTACTTTTAAAATTAGCGATAGCTGTTATAAATACGGAAAATCTAAAATTATCTCGTTGTACCGGAAAATCAATTTCATTTTATTGTTTAATAGCCTGTAATAAACGGTCAACAACATTTCCATATCTTATTATTTGCTAACTTTATAGTGAAACTGGCCGATTCTACCCTCTTTTAAATTTTCCTAATCTAATAATAAAAATACATTTGAATACAAAATATCTGTTATTCATTCAAAATTGAATAGCGAATCATTTTCCTCAGCAGATTTTGGCTTGTTTCATGATTATGATTTAAATACACACGATCGATTTATTTTGCTCACATACACACACCGCTTGCACGTAGCTTAGGGGGTGGTTTTATGGAGGGGGGTAAAGAGGAGGGGTGGTCTTTCATTACGAAATTCGGAGGGAGAGGGTCTTCGCCCTTTGTACAGCCAAGCCCTAGCAACCTGCATCTTTAAAATATCCCCTAAAACATCTAAACATTGCAGTTTTACCTTCAAATTACACATAATTAAACCATCAATAGTTCAGTAACCCATTTTTTTTAAAGTTAATGTTTTATTCATAAAAAATATTCATCACCTTTTTATCCACCATAGTTAAAAGTTTACTTAATTTTTTATAATTTAGCCTACTTTTGCTTTTGGCAAAAATAACGTTGCGTTCTTATCAGGACTGCAATGCAATATGAATTTTTTTCAAAAATCTATGTACATTAATCTTTTACCGTTTCTTAAAAGCCAATGAAATAAAATCTTAACGGTTCTTGTAAAAGTGCAGAAAGTAGTCAAAGCGGATCTGCTACGTGGACGATGTGCGATTTCTCCCTACCCTTCACAGCCGATAGTTTCAATTGGCAAAGTACTGTAAACTTATTAGTACAACATAAATTTTCACCAACACGTACTTAAAAGGGCTTATCTTGATTTAGTATGTGTGGATATAAATGCATCTCAAAAGCCGAATCATCCGACAGAGCATGCGTTAACGCCGTAGGTAGGGTCAGGAACAACATGGCGGTACGACGCCATTGTTGTAGCTCCGTATTTCGCGGATTTCTCCGAATTGCGTGGCAATGTTATGACCATTGACGAATAATTTGACACTGAACGATTAAATATACTTCTTTAATACATTTAAGTACATATTTATGTATATTTCCGACTTAAAAATTTAAAGGTTCAACCGGGAAAGCCGGTGTTGAAACTTCGTTGATAATTCTTACTAAAATGTAAGAAATCGATTATGGAAAATTATTTAGGTCGTTGAATGTTAAATTACATCCTTGTTTAAAATTTGGGTTTTATCATAAAAATCTTTAGTTGTCTACATGTACATTTTTATACAATTTGAAAAAAGAAAATGGGGGGGGGTGGGTTCAATGCACTTACTCCAGAGGTCATGTCCATGACACGTGTATATGCGTTTTTTTTAGTTCTTTTAATTTTTAATTTTTACTACTTAACGAAATTTGCAATGTAAAAAGATTGGTCGTTTTTACAACCAACCATTTTAATTTCTCGTGTTACGACTATGTAGTGTCAAATTGAAAGTGTATTATTTAGGTCATTTAGTATGTCATCGTGTTTTAGTAATTTTTCCAACAGAAGAAGTTGTCACTAAAATGTCCATAGACCTAGGTCCGGGACAACGGTACGTTTTTCGTTTTCGTGGTTCCAAATAATGAAAACATCGTTTGTTCAGTTGATTTATATAGTGTGTAACAATGTAAATAATAATATGTACTCGACTAACGTCCTTTGAAATTATAAATTCCACAACTTCTTGAAACTATAATGTAACTTCATGTTTGAGGTGTTGCCTTCCGGATTACTATAATAAGGTAATTAACCTCTAGAATAATATAATGTAACTTCTACAAATTGCAATCGTAATAACGATATTTATCAAAGATAAAATCCACATGTTTCATTTTGTAAGTTAGGTTGTACATGTAATACACACACGGTTTTAGTTATCTTCTTTTACATGCTAAACGTTTTAAAATTATTGATTTTAAATTTAATTCCCAATACTGTATAAACGATAAAATAATCGCAACAAAGAAGTAGCACAAGTAGTCAAAGATGAACTAATTACATCTTGACCAATTACAATAATCTTGACTAAATTATCTTATTTTGTATAAAAATTGAAAAAAGACGAATTTCATATTCCCAATATAAATGATAAAATAATAGCCATGAAGAAATAGCTAATTTGAAAGATAAACTAATTGCAAATTCAACTTCATTTTCAAACCAAGGGCAGATTTTTTGAATTCCCAATATAAACGATGAAATAAAAATAATCGCAACAAAGAAATCGCGAAGGCAGTGGCCCTGGCGCGGCGGGACAAGTTAGGTTATGGTGGTCAGTGCCACAGCCACACGCGCCGCGCCACACTGGGCGCGTTGTTGTCGAGGTCGGTGATCTAGAAGGCTGCGACGCGTGGAGGCAGCAGTCGCTGGTGTCTGCTAGTGACGTCACTGCTGGAAACCAACAACAGCGCCTCCATGAGCGCATGCGTTCCCTGCCTTGCACTCGCTTGTTTCGTAACTGCAAGCGATTTTTTGCTGGTTTTTCTTTTACAAATATTTGTGTCGGATGTGTTGTTAGGTGTTTTAAGCATTTTAAAGGTTTATGACTAGTAAAATTAACTAAATGTGTGCTAGTTTTCGAGTGCATCGATACTTTGTTGCGGATGTCGTGATAGAGAGGTATAATAAAAATTTGTTTACATACAAATATATTTGATAATAAATTGTGTGTATAAACAAAAATATACATTACAAATATAAAATGTATACGTTACTTTTTCAAATCTATGCAAACAAAAACTTTAAAACTCAAACATCGTGATGAATAACTAACTTCAGCTTAACTTTTCTTTATCAACTCAAGAACCGTTTTATTTGTAAAGCGAGTTCCCAATGTAGTTTTTCATTTTATAAATAATGTAATTTAACACCATTTTACTGAACTAATCTTTGAACTCGTGGACAGTGAAATATAAAATTTAGAATATTTTCAAAAAACTTATTCTAAAACGTTCAAAAAACTTGACACCTCCCCTTTCCTAATTTGTAGACTCCGCTATCGCAAAGTCAAAGTTATCCTTTGAACCCTAGTATCCCTAACTGGCTAACTACACCCATGCATCCCCAACTACCTAACTACCCCTTGCATCCCCAACTACCCCTGCAACTGCAACTTCCGCCTAGGCCCTACCTCAGCCACGTGCCGACGCTGCCGGAGCATCGCTCTGTGACGTCACGACGCCTCCCCCCTCCCTCCCCTTTCCCTCCCCTCTCTCACTGGAGTCTCCACGTGCATGGGAGAGTCATGGACCTAAAGCTACCATTCAGTGCCTCAGTGAACCCCGTCACCCTACCACCTCCCGTACCATGGCGGAAATTTGGGATAGGACCCATAAGGAGTGGATTAAAAATCTTAGGGTTTTTTACAAACAAAATGGTAAATATTTTTACGATTTTTATTTTTTCTGACTTAATTTATTTTTACGTTTACACGAGTTTTGTAAATTATTTTGAATTTTGTTTTACTATAGTTTTGGTTTTTAAAACATCACAAATTTGGTTAAATTATGCAGTATAAACAACCAGTACCTCACGCACTTAAATATCCAGTTGTGGTCGTAATACATTTTAATAAATAGGTTAGTATGAAATAATAAGATCCAAGTACATTTAAACACACCATATGTCTCTAATTCGTTTCATAAAGTTCTCATCACCTAACGCTTTACTTCATTGTAAAGAAACAAGTGGTTGTTTTAGTACAATTTTGTTATTTTTTTATTTAAGATACCGACTACAGACGTAAAATTGTTGTCTTATAAATCGTTTATTAGTTTATTAATATCTGAAGCGTGAAATATTTCTTTGATAAACTATTTCCCCGTTTACTGTTTGTCGAGTCCGTTAGTCAGTTGTTTGATACAAAACACCGCTTTTTATTGTATTGCAAAAAATAATAAAATTGTCGAAACTAAGGCTCCTTGCTTATTAAACATGAGTGGCAAATGTGTCAATAATTGAGTCCTAATAGTTTTAAATAAATTAACATAGCGAAGTTTAGTTTTTTGAATTAATTGCAATACTTGCGCAGCTATTTTGTGTTAATACAAAGTTTTTTTACGCTCTTTTGTGTTTACAATAAACTATTTAACTCCTTATTTGACTGGCAACTGTAAACAAGCCTCTAAATTTTATATTTTTATTTAGTGTGTTTTATCCGCCAATGACATTTATTAACGTTTTGTAAAGGGGGATGAATACGTTTTAAATTAATGTATCAAAATTATCTCGTTGAAATGAATTATTTTCAATTATTTATGCGACTACACTACTGCTTTTATTTCTAAAGGAATTTTATAAGCTGCACTAAAAATTACACTAAAAATTATTATTTACTTTCTGTTAAAAATTACTGTATCGCTACAACCAGAACAACCACAGGCAAACGATCGTAATGATGCATTATCTTTGTAGTACTACTGTATCTGGTTTACAACACTTGCCGTCGCTTCGTAGGGAATTCATGTTGTTATTTGTAGCGGACTAACAGGCGTTGAATTTTTGCATATTTCGTAATCCGTTTTGGACATAAATTTTATAGCTATTAATAAAATATGGATAGTTAATGTTAGAGTAATTTAGGGTAATTTTTAATGCGAAATTAAACATATTTATTTTGTTTGCTGTAGTACAAAACCCACAAGATAGAACTTTTTCGTAGCGAAAATGCACCAGATGTTCAACTTACTTACTATATTTAATCCTCAATAATATTTTGTTTCGTTTAGAATATACAAAAACTTTATTTTTGAGTAACTTGTGTTATAGAGTAAATATTAATAGATATTGGTGAAAGAAGTGTATTTTTTGTTTGGCTGATCAACCAATCTTTTCAACAACAATCTTTTAACCAATCTTTTATTTTTATTTTGGTGGTGTTGATAGTTCGTCAGACAGTAAAATATTTATGGTTCAGTATCAATTTTTGTCTGTAATAGACTTACAGAAACTTTTTAATTGTTGGTAAAATGTCGAGAGTAACAAAATGAAGCGGTTTGAACAACGGTTCCTTGGCGTTTTTATTCCACGTATGGAATAGTAGAAAAGTCGTTTTAAACAATATTGCCTATTTGATTAATTATAGGAACCATACATATAACATAAATATAATTCATGTAATTATACAATCCCAAACAATGTCAAAACAATTTTAATGCAGTAGCCTGTTTTATTTATAAAATACATTGTTTAAATTTTGATAAATAAATAAATTATATTATATTATTTATGTACTTCATGAATATTAATAGTGATTTATTATCTTAACTATTTGTGTATCAATTGAATTGTTGTACGTATTGTAAAATGAATATTATTGTCAAATAAATCAATGATTAGGGTAATATAATAGCCGCAAAACTTGAATTTGTATTTAATAATCTAAAAAAAAAAAAACTACAAGCTTTTTTAAAATGAAATATTTGAAGTTACTTTTAAAGAATTCAATTTATAAAATGTGAATACTTTGTCACAGGCTACATTATTAATCTTGCAAATAACAACAATGAAAATTTATATGATAGTTAGCAGTTAAACAAACTGGTTCCTGTTATTAATTTAGTTTATTTTTTGTTTTCATGACTAAATATATAGTAATAAGTATGTTTTTCCTCTCTCCTCCTAGATCAAATTAATATGTAGGTGTTAGTTAACTTCAATAAGCAATTACAAACAATTCTCAAGTGGGAGGGGGTGGGGAGTAGGTTCACAGAGCAAAGAATAATAATTATTATTCTTTGCTCTGGGAGGTTGAGCTCTCATGGTTTACATCCATTGTTTTAAAATGTTAAAGTTTTTTTACATTATATTGATTTAGTTGTATTCAGAATTGTATATATATATATATTATATATTTACATAATATTGTTTATAACATTAGGTACGGTACTAATATTTACATAGGGTTTAAACTAATACCAAGCAATGATTTATCATTTAATGCTTTATAAGCAAAAGTGACAAAATTTGTATCTTTCCAAAAGGGAGGTAATGGAACTCCGTTCCGCCGTGTTACCCCTCAAGTCGAGCCCTGCTGGTTATGGGATACATATATATATATATATTTTTTTAAGGATAAGTGACTATTTTGTCCTTAGTTTTATTTAACTTATATTAGTGACCATTTTAAACTAGCTCAAAGGCATTAGGGATTTTGAGAAAATATACTGGTAAGTCCCTTGAATCAAGTCTTCTTGCTTGAATTTTTAATTTATCTTTCAATGTCAAACATTGTCTCGAAAATTTCCTTGATTAGTCTTTTAGGCTCCTTCTTTTATTCCTTGATTTAGGGCATGACTTTTTTATCGTTGAACCAAAAACTAATTAATGTTTTCTTTTTCAGATAACATCTGGAATCGTGTGAGTGAGATGGTCGGACTTGGACTGTTCAACCCAGACATGTCTCCGATAACTGAAGATGGCCGATTGAGAGAGTCTTTGCCAGTTGGTGCTGACTGTACGCTGAGTCCATTGCTGCCAACCTCACAAGCTGCCCCAGCTGCCCAGCCATCCTCGGAACAGCAGCTATCAGTCAAACGTGTCGTCTGCAGTCCAGACCTTCCTGTGTTCTCTATCACTCCCACAACCGAGGAACAAGCAGTGGACTCGTCTACATCAGTTCCAGAGAAAGTGTTTCAGTGCTCGTTTTGTAACAAGACTTTCAACCAGAAAAACACTTTTCAGAACCATTTACGCTCCCACGGTAAAGAGGGAGAAGATCCCTATCAGTGTAACTTCTGCGGTAAGAGTTTCGCTGTGCCGGCTCGACTGACTCGTCACTACCGGACCCATACAGGCGAAAAACCTTACCAGTGTGAATATTGTAAAAAGTCCTTCTCCGTAAAGGAGAACCTCAGTGTTCACAGAAGAATACACACCAAGGAAAGGCCGTACAAGTGTGATATTTGTGAGCGAGCTTTTGAACACAGCGGGAAACTGCATCGCCACATGCGGATCCACACGGGCGAACGTCCACATAAGTGCGGAATCTGCTCGAAGACATTCATTCAGAGCGGACAACTCGTCATACACATGAGAACACATACTGGAGAAAAACCCTACGTCTGCAAGTCGTGCGGGAAAGGCTTTACTTGCTCCAAACAACTCAAAGTGCACAACAGGACTCACACCGGAGAAAAACCGTACGCTTGTGAAATTTGCGGAAAAAGTTTTGGTTACAATCATGTGCTCAAGCTGCATCTAGTTGCTCATTACGGGGAGAAAGTCTACAAGTGCACTATCTGCAACGAGACTTTCACCTCCAAAAAGTCCATGGAAAGCCATATCAAGAGCCATTCAGAATCGTCAGTCGATGTTAGAGGAGAAGATGACGTTATGTCTCCTGGAATGGCGGAATCTTCATGCGCCTCGTCCACCAGTGATAAAGAAAACAATAAGGAGGTTGAAGTAAATTCTACCAAAATTCACGTCATGACTCCCAGAAGTGGGGAGCCATCTTCGAGCCAGCCGCATCCCAACATGCGAGAGTTGGTGCAATATTTATATCCTCGCTCCTCTCAACAACCGCAGGGACTCAACCCGGCCCTCCTGGCGGCTGCGGCTGCCGAGTACGAAGGTAGACAAGTCTCTAACTGGAGTGAAGACCGTCCAAACAACTCCGGAATGATTCATGTCATCGAGTCGTCATCGTTGCCAGTCACGGAACCACCAGTTTACCTCATTCCTGACACGCTAGCCTCCATCCATCGAAGACAGCAGTACAGTTTCAATCTCCCTCCTCCTCCGGAGTATCTAGAGAACCAAGTCGTGATAGACCTTCAGGACGACAAGATGCGAGAAGAAGAAATCAGAGTTATGGGTGATCTTTCTCACCGGGAATCCAACGAACCTCTGACTCCTCCCAGCAGCAATCCTGTCAGTCCCTCCCCCTCATCCTCCCCGGACCCTCTGGACCTCGCGATCCTCCCTAGGGACGAACTAACTCTCCCACCGCGTAAACGTAAGATAAACTTCAAGCCTGTGGATAATACTGAACCGGCGGCCAAGGAAGTCGCAGTTCGACACAGCTCTGTAATCCATTTCGCCCGAGCGTCCTAATCAGACTGATTCTCTGTGATAGACAATTCGACTGTTAAGTCAGTCAAGTTAACACTGAGACTGTGCAATATAGACTAAGTTATCATAAGACTGTACGTATCATTTATTGTATTTGTTTAAGTTGTATTAAATGCCAACAACTTCACTACCTCTTAGCTAATAGCTGTACTTAGTATGTGTTGTGTCCTGCAAGTCTTCTGCGATCTAAATTCAGTTATTTAAATATTTTAAGCCATACTTGTCCTAGTCATTATTGTTTCTATAACTTAACAATAGCTAGCCTTTAAAATATTTGCTCTTAATACTGTACATCAAATTTTTGCACTAAATGTTTCTGATATTTTTTTGTTGGAGTTTTCACAGGCATTTTTATTTTATTTCAAACCTTTTGATGGATTTTTTCAGTTTTTGTTTAAGTGGGTAATATTTATTTTATCATTTTTAATTTACTTTGTGCATAATAATCAGCTTGTCCCCTTTTTGCATTTAAGACAACAATAGTGTTACATCATGTAATGTAATATGTACAGTTACATAAATTTTTGAACTTGCCTGTAACTATAAACCAATAGTTACCTTACGCTCAGGGAGAAACTGTTTCTGTTTTACATTTAAGGTTTTTGAAGGCTTGCATGAAACTAGAGATAGAGAAGGCACCAGAAAAGTACATAATAGGATTTTATACGATGTATATAGAGTTTGTCTATGGTATAAGAGTTAATGATTCACATCACTAAACAGAAATTAAGCCTTGTAAATTAGCTTGAAATTGACTTTTGTATATAAATTAATGGAATTTTTAAATTTCTATATCTAGTGCTATTTCAAAATGTATAAACGAGTAATAATTCATACGTGGTTATAGTATTTTAATTTTGTTTTTGATCTCTGATTGATGTATGGCTGAGTGGATGTTGTTTAATGGTTGGTTTAAATTACTTTATTCTAGTTGTATTTCTCAGAAGACTTTTATTTATACATTGTTTTGCACTGTTGATTCCTCATCATGCTGTAGACTGTCTACCTCTATTGTATCTTTTTAACAAGAATAACATTGTTGTAATCACTTGAACTTGTGTTGTTTTTACCTCATGTTGAAAATTATCAAAGTTAAAAATTTCATGAATAAAAAAGCTAAAAATCTTATGTGTGGAAGAAGAAATTTGTTATTTATTTAAATCACAAGACGGTAAATGATTACAATCTTGCAAAAACTCTGTTGAAGTAAACAATAAAACCACTTCATTCTTAATTTCAATAATTTAAAATTTTTGAAATTACAATACAAAAAAAATATGAAATGCAATAGGGCTAATTTACCTGTCAATGAGTATATACAATTGACAAAAACACAAAATGGTTCAAAGATAAAGATTGAATTAATTATTATCTTTATTGTGACCATTTACTTTGAACCACCTAAAAAAATATATTTCTACCTTTAAAAGACCTAGGGGTGAATTTATTAAGTTGAATATGAAGATTTATGAAGCAAGTTTTAAAGTTGCGTTCCGATAAAATCAAATGGCTATTTTGTACTTATGGGTGATAACTGGTAACCTAAGAGTATTTTTTTAATGTAAACAATACAGAATCATTGTTCAAACAACTGTTTGATCCCATATAGTGTCATGACTTTAAGATGACAGATTAGTAACACTTAAAGAACATAAACAGGCTTGGTTCTATGGTTAAAAGAACAAGAGGGAGTTGAAGTGAAATAGTAGAAATAATACTTGTTAAGCAGGAAAATTATACTGCTTTATCCAAGTAAATAGAATAACCAGGCTCAACAATATCCCAATGTAGTTTAAAATTCAAAACTGTAGAAACATTGACTAAGTGCAACATATAGGAAGAGGAAGTACAAGTTACAATAGATTACATTGTAGAGTTAATTACTCAACAAATTGCCATTGCATTGAGATAGTCTCTGATATTGCAGTGCACTGTTTTTAATAAATTAGATAAGCTGCAATGAGGAAGTCATAACAATTTAAATGTTGACCCCTGATTAAGCATTGACTAAACTAATTATTTATTCTTATTTTGTTGTACAAATATACAAATTCACAATAATTAGCAAATTTAAGACAAGCTAACTGCTGCACGGTACAGTAAACCCTCATTGATACAACCATTGACTATATAACACTGTAGTGTTATATAGTCAATGATACAACTCGATTAATAGACCTTTCCTTAATCAGGATAGTTGGATATCTGTTTGTTTGCATTTGTGATTGTATGGGTAGAGTGTTCCACTGTAGGCCTGAACTGTGTAGTTTGCCAGAGTCAAAGTACAATCTACTGCAGTGCTTTAGCAGTTTGTATTTCTTTAATTTAAACAATACTCAATCTATATACATACAATAAGGGTTTTCCGTCAAATCCCTTTTCCAGCCGTCCTACATTATCGATTCTTACGAGTTACGTGTCATTTTACAATGTGTGTTAATGGTAATTAAAAAGATAATTTCTAATTATTGCTGATTATTATAAATTAGCAGTCCTATTCACCTAATAAACTGCTCTAAGCAAATACAAACTTGAAAAGGTAAACGTGTATTGGCACTGGATTCAATTTTGTCTCCTAAACAAGTTTTGGACCCTATGAACCTACACAATTTGCCATGAGTACCCTGGTATATATTTCTAAAATGCCTTTTTATGTCGGTGCGCCATAGCTTTGCCAATACTTAATCAGTTTCTGTTAGAAAGGAATCATCTTAAAGCTTTTGATAACCCACTACATACACCAGAAAACTATTTAATCACTCACTTTTCATTTGTTTTTCAAAACTATGGTCCATTCCAACATTTAATTTTAACTTACATTGATTTTAGTTATTAAAAAGATGATTTTTATAAGATGATTTAAGTTAATCCCGCTAACATACCGGAGCTGTGGGGCACCTTCGAAGACGCACCTAGCAAAGATTTCCTTAGAAAATACACGCACAAGCAGTCATACAACCTAAAGTGCAAATGAGACTCATTATAAATTGACGTAAAAAGGTAGGATTTAATAAACTCTGAAGTCTAGTAAGATCAGGGCCGCGTTAAGGGTCAGTGGAGCCCTGGGCAAACCCAAAAGCATCGCCCCCTTTTTTCCTAGTGGTGGATAGGGGGCACCTGGCGTACGCTCCCTGGGCATAGGCCCAATCTGCCCGTTTATAAAAGTGGGCCTGAGTAAGATTTGTAACATACAAATACAACATACTAGGTACGTTTTTTAAGTAAGGGCCGTTTTTAAATTTCTTCGTTCCAGCACTGCGATTGGCATTTTCGACATTTGCGCTGTGTATGTGCATCTATTGGTAAGACATAGCCGGAAATTCGAGAAAATTCGGCCGTGTTCACATCCGGTTTCAAGCATTCAAAATGGTGCCGCCAATTGAGACTGCCGCCGACTGTGAAGTGCGCGTTGTAATTAGATTTTAAGAGCTTAAGGTGTGAAAGCTATTGAATATCATCGACAGATTAGTGAAGTGTATGGCGAGAACATTATGAGTGTCATAATTGTATGCAAGTGGATATGGGAATTGAAATACGGTACCACGAACGTTCATGATGAGTAACGCACTGTGCGGCGTCATTACTGTCCCCATACTCATGATGACAACCTGTGCGTTGCTCATCATGAACGTTGGTGGGGCCGTCTTAAAATGTCCTTACCTACTTGCGTACCATTCCGTCACTCATAATGTTCTCGCCATACACTTCACTAATCTGTCGATGATATTCAATAGCTTTCACACCTTTAGCTCTTAAAAATCTAATTACAGCGCTCACTTCACAGTCGGCGGCAGTCTCAATTGGCGGCACCATTTTGAATGCTCAAAACCGGATGTGAACACGGCCGATTTTTCTCGAATTTCCGGCTATGTCTTACCAATAGATGCACAAACACAGCGCAAATGTTGAAAATGCCAATCGCAGTGCTGGAACGAAGAAATTTAAAAACGGCCCTTACTTAAAAAATGTGCCTAGTATAACTAAATAAAGAACAACTGATAGACAACAAAGAAATTCATAATTTAAATAAGAAATAGTAATAATTACAGTTCATATGTTTAAAATATTACCACATTCTTCCGACCCTAGATCGAGACTTAGTCGTAGTCTTTAAGGTAGTGAGGTATTTTGCGGATACGCTGTGGATGAATTTTGGAAGCCACTCAACTTGAGTCTTTGTGAGAACTGTTTGTATGTTCAACCGGTTCATTTGTGTCACTTAATGTCCCACTAGAATAATTTTTCTCTTGCTCTTGATAAAATGAAGACTCCGGTTCTCGATAATTTATTCATTTTCGTCTGTATCTGGAGATTGGTGGTCTGTTTCTTAAGATGATTGACAAGGTGCTGGGTCAAGGCCTGTTATAGACACTTTCTTCTCTTATCCATTCGGGAGTTTCACATGAGCATAGCTTGGATAAGATCTACTTCTTCTAAAGTGAGTCATACTTGCTGGATTTGTTGTGCATTCGCAACAGCATTGGGCCAGGTTGTGACAGCCAACTCGGAACTGAGCCTCCATAATAAGATCTTCTCAGGTGCTTAAACATCAATTCATGAGGTGTTGTATTTATTGTTGTGTATAATCTATATATTAATAGGCAAGCATGTTTCTTTAAAACCTTTTTTCTCAGCTTGTGTTCATCGTGGGGTAAATCTGCGCATACCGTTAGAAAACAATTTTCCTGTAGGTGTGCAGAATCCCTTTATAAATTAAAATAGGCTAAAAAATAAGCACAAAAAACGAATTTGAAAACTTCAAAAAATTAACATGGACCAACTGGGTTGCCATGATGGTGACGAAATAACAACAAAATGTAAACAGAAAATCAAAACAAATGGAAGAAATCCCAATCACATGTTTTATTTACAGTGTGGGGAGAAAATAGAGAAGTCTGTACATTAATTATTTTTGGTCGAGTTTCGACCACAGGACGACCACTAGTAAGGATCTTATTGAAAGTGTTTCAGAAAGAACTGATTCCCAATACTTTACAGGTAAAACCCGGGTTCTGATAGCAAGCATGATTGTCTTCCATATAGTGCCATTGAATCTCTCTACTTGGCCATTCCCCCTCTAGGATTATAAGCAGAAGAATGGCTTGGCTTGACGCAGCCCCATGAGTTTGTAGGAAAGATTTTAATACTTCCGACATTATTTACGTTCATTGGTCTGAGTGAACAAACGAAGGCATAGGCTACCAAAAATTGTAAAAAGTTCTTTCAGTTTCACAATCACAGTAGACTACTAGAAGTCATGTCTCGACAGGTGAAAGCAAAATGGATATCGCAAATACTTGTCTACGATAGGTAATATATACCTATTTTGTGTATCACTTGGAATCGGGCCTTTAAAGTCTAAGTTCAGACACTCAAAAGGTGTTATAGTTTTGATTAACGTACCTTTCATATTTGCAAAACCTAAGCTTAAGTTCAGCACAAATTGGTCATTAGACTGTAATACGAAGAATTTCTCCCAATGAAAAAGGTAAGTTTTTTCAACCATGAAAAAACTGATCTTTGGTCTGTATTGAGTAGGAATGGTCTCCAATTAGTGTGTGTGTGTAGTGTCTCCACTTCTTAAGAAATTCTACGATCGCTTGAGCTTCTTTTTCTATGGAAGAATGGTTCTTTTCAGATGTTATTGATAGCCTAATGTTTTAAAATAAAAAAGCTACTAGCCGTCCTGCTTGTGAGAAGGTTGATTTGATTGAAAACTCAGATGCATCAGTCTCAACTGTAAATGGTATGTCATCTTGGATTGGGACTTTAATTACAGTTTTCTATTTCATTTTCAATTAATTGAAGGAGTTAATTGCCTCTTCTTATAATGGAAAACTTTTAGTTGATGAAAGGGGCTGAATTTTCAATGAAAAACTCTTTAAAAAGCCAGAATAGTGAGCGAACTTGCCCATTGTTCGACACAATGATTGGACATCATGAGGAAGTGGTAGTTTCAAGAGCGGCTGAAGACGGTCTGGATCCAGGACGGATTTTGTTAACTTTGTTATTACATATCCTAACAGATGAATTTTGTCTTGTGCAAAAGAGCATTTTTCCATGTTTAGAGTTAAATTGTACTTCTTGGCTGTATCACAGGTTTTTATCATGTTCATCTTTATTCCTCCCTCCAATTGTTACCTACATCGTCCAGGTAAGCTACAGTGCATTTAAGTCATGACCGTTTTCCATGATTCCATAGATAAATCGAAGTACGAAACGTCCATAAGAAATGTATGGGGGAGAGTTTTGTTTTAATATATCTTTAAAACAAAAAAAGATATTTCAAAACGGATTTTGGTATCGAAATCAGCATGGAAATCTAGTTTATAATGATGTGTCACAACATCATCGTTGCATTTAAAACTTTTTATTTACGGTATATCCAATAGGCTATGTCGGATCCAAGATGGCGGCCAAAAACTTGAATCCTGTTGAAATGAAGTACTAACCACGGAAACATGTGCATACAAAAATTAATGTTGTAAGTTTTAGCGAATTTCAAAATTTGTTGGGAAAAGCCGCCATTTTTAATAGTGATTTTAGGGGTTTTCCCGTGGACCAATTTTTAGCAACTTTTAGTACTACTGTCACTCTGCACGTACAACACTACAAAATAAAACCATAATTCATTTTCTTGCAATTTTTTTAAGGCCATATCCTATATTTCTCTGATTAATAGGCGAATGACAAGAATCAAAATGTAGAAGAACCATTCGCCTATTGGGTCTGATGATGATTGGAGTGTCCAATCGAAATCTATCACCACTTATCTTTTATGTATTTACCCTCTTGTGAGTAAACAGTAGGCCTATAAGTGTAAATATATTATTAACAAGTGTTAATTTGACATTTTCTTTGTGTTTTCAGGTAGTTTAATAACACGTACGATGCTCGATGCTGATCAAGAAGTTATTTTTATATATAAATTATATACTATAACTTTAATGTTTATTAATAATTTTAACTCTGGTATAAAAAAGTTATGGCTTACCCTCCTTGTTGCACAATATACTTCCACAGATTGGATATTTCTTATCTATTGCACCCCATGTTCCAAATCCTGCCCATGCCTTATCACACAATAGTTGCTTAAATAACTTGTAATATTTTTAAAGAAAAGATAAAATCTAGTATATTCAATGTACTCTCCATTCCAATAACAACTGAATTATTATTATTTATTCAAACAAACTCAACAATCAGAACAAAACAATAGTCATTAACATCTATGAAATGCAACCAACATTATAAAATCAAATGTTTCTTCTTGCACAGGTATATTACATAGGTATATTAAAGTTTTCAACGTCACAAAAATCAATTAACTCAATATAAACAAATTTTATTTAACAGTTGTATTATGTCTAAGATCAACAATTAGATCACAATTAATGATTATGTTATATCGGATTTTACGTGGAAAATAAAATTGTTTATCTCACCTCTTCTGATTTGGATAGAAAAGATGGAATACCTCAGTTGTATCCATTAGTAAAATGATGTAATGATCCCAAGAGAGCAGCGCTCTGGTGAATTCTATTGAGCTTTCCGAACCCGTGGAAGCTACCTAATATAGGGTTACAATGTGGTAACCCGAACTTAAAGCCGGATTACTTTATTCTTTATAAGCTTTTGCCGAGCTTAAAGCCGATAAAGAATCAAGAATGAGACTTTCATAAATCTTTGTGGACAATGCAGGCTAAATGGCAATAGGTATGGCAGGACCGCGCCGAACTTGGACAACGACACACGCGGACAACGTTAAAGTTGGACAGATTAAGTTTCCAGGGTTGTCGTTTGCGTGCAACGTTACCCTTGGACACTTTTGAATGTGTCCAGATTCGTCGTGTCGTGCAACGTTAAACTTGGACACATTTGATTGTGTCCAGTTTCGTCGTGTCGTGCAACGCCACCCCTGGATAACTTAAAAACTTGTCCAGGTTCGTCGTTTGCATGCAACGTTAAACTTGGACACATTTGAATGTGTCCATATTCGTCGTGTCGTGCAACGCCACCCCTGGGCAACTTATAAATGTGTCCAGGTTCGTCGTTTGCGTGCAACGTTAAGCTTGGACACATTTGAATGTGTCCATGTTCGTCGTTGTCTGCTTTTATCGTTGTCTGATTGAGGCGGTGTCTGCTTTTAACGTAGTCCACGTTTAACGTTGTCCAACTTCGACATCGTCCCGGTATGGCAATAGGTCTGTAATTTCGTATGATGTTTTTGCAGCCAGATTTGAATATGGGGACAGCATATCTCTTCTTCAAGGACGATGGAATAACACCCGTCTCGAGTAGTTTTGCGAAGTATATAGGGCAAACAACAAGGCAAGAATAATAAGAGCACTGTATTTGAGTATAGCAGAGGTGGAATGTCGTCCGGCCTGGCACCCCTGTTTGGTTCAAGTGCCTCAAACTTTCTTTGTACGTATATGGCTGAAAAATTACAGCAGTTTGTTGACTGATTCAACCCAAATTCATAAGTTGGCTGTGGTGTGTTGCTCAGGTTGAATATGGATGAGAAGAATCTAGAGAAATAATTGTTACATTTTCGTCCACCCCTCATCACATTTTTGTCAGTATATATAAAATTTAAAATTCATGTTCCGTCATTGTTAGAAAGTGAGTTAGATTTTGAATTGATTCAGTTTAATTCATTGGTAGTTATTACTAGGTGGACTGGTTGACTGTATCCGTCCTCCTGGAAAGAAAAAAGAAGAACAAAGCAAAACAGTGAAGAAGAAGAAACGCAGTAGGAGAGGACTAGAGGAGAACTCGAACTCATTCATTCTGATTCAACTCAAGAAGAAGAGCAACAGTAAGGAAAGTTTGGGTCGGGTTTTTTTGTTTTTAGTTGTTTTGTTTTGCCGGGACTAATGTTTTGAAAACCCTGATCTAGGATTACTTGTGAATAAACAATCAAAACAAGTTTGTAGATTAATTAGTGTAACCTATAATCGCCATCATGCAGACCGAGGAGGAACCAGGTAATTATATTGTAAATGTCGTATCTAACCTATAAAAATTATCCCATGATGACCTAGCCTACTGTATTGGAAATTAAATGGTCATTTAGGCCTACCCATCTCGGGGTACAGTTTCTTAACTGGGCTATGCTAAAATTGATTGAAACTATTAAAATATTGATTAATAATTGATATTTTAAAATATATCTATTATAAAATTAAACTATCATAACCTAACCAACCAAACTTGCTGATGGTGAAAAAATCGCATGAAGGTTTACTAGGGTAATCGAATCGATAGTTTCAATCAAAATTAGCGTAGCCCAGTTAAGAAACTGTACCCCCATCTCGTTAGCTGGCTTTGTATCAGTTTCATTAGGTACAATTAGGCCTAATGCAAAAGAATAAGACTAAGACTCATCGCTTTTTATAATTGTCTTTGAGGTAGGCCTAGACCATCATGTTGTGGATAAATATTTATAGACATTCACTGTGGATGCGATACTCCCTGGTGTCGATTAATGTCCTCAATAGTGAGTATTACGACTAACTTATCCGTAGTAAGTTACTATTCTGACAATTAGACTAATTTGTTAATCACAAGGCAAAAATGTGGTTCGGATACCTTAACTTAGTTGCCATTCTCTGTATGGGCTATTAATTAACAGCTGCGTCTAAGGAATATGTCCACACATCCTACACTCTCCCGAAGAACAATCGAATGAATATATCGACAGCCTATATAGCCTAGATAATTTGATAGGTACCTATCGATTATTTCATTGGGTTGTTAGGTTAGGTTAACCTAACTAACCAAACATGATATAAGTTAGGCCTATCGAATGAAATAGGCCTAATCGATATATTTAAAATTTGATACATTCATTCCATTTTTCTGCGGGACAAGTTGTGATTCATCTACAAATTTTTATTAATGGAAGTAAGTTATTCCTAGAGATATTAATTAACTTATTTTTATTTTTTTAGCGTTTTTAGATTTTAAACCTGCTTGCAATGAGCGTCCATCATCCCCCACGTGGATGACCGAAGAAGAAGCACTGGGTGAGCTTAGAAGAATGGGTAAGTTGTTGCCTTTGTCTTCTAACTTAAATTATTCCAATTATATTTTAGTAGGGCATGTCACAACGAACCTGCAGACTAAGCAAATTTGTTTACTTGCGTAAACAAGTTTGTAACTTAGACCTGGCTTGATCACAAGAAGGTTACTCATAATACACAGGGCTACAGTTCCGCAGAGAACCTGCAATATTGTAAACCTATATATCAATATACTATAGATTTTGATTTGCTTCAATATATCGCTTCTTAAACCCTCCAAGTGTAGCATACCTTTATAGTAAAGGTCTAATGTTGGCCTATTTACTGTGCAATCGCAGGGTTTTATTAAAAGGTAGGCTATCTGAGAAACTTAAAAACAATCATTCAGAGCAGTAGTTAATTTGCTTATCGAGTTTATAGTTTATACTATTTTTGTTGTTGTGCCGTCTTATTACCTTTCAGTTCTTGTGACCATATGTTGTTGTGAATCACCCCAAGTAACTATCAACACAAGGTAAACAGCCCATAACTTATTAGTCATTTTATACAGTTTAAATGTTCATGGGCTAAAATGAAATCTTAAATATTTATTGAAACAATAGTTTAAGTGGTTTTAAAACAATTTTGTTTTTGTTGTAAGTTAGACTTTCTGGTTTGACATTGCATCTTTGTGTTTGTGAATTTGGGTTTTATACAAGTTTGAGAAGACTCATGACTCATTCTTTTTTGTCTCTTAGAGCTTGACGCCTACCACAGCCTGGTTTGGACGTTCCGTGCCCAGGGTCGCCTAACTGCTAATAAACTAAGGCTGATGAAAGAGGTAGCTGCAGAGTTGTATATCCCAGAATACTGTCAAAAGCTGGAATGTGGCACGGCCATGGGCAATGGAAAGTTGAACGAGATAGCAGAATGGTATGGTCAGACAAAATACGCTTAATATTTCAGTCTAATTTATTGTGGTCATCATCCTAATGTATCACAGGCATTTGAGAAAAATAGTCAACCTTCTCTGTGAAATTTTGCTCAAAAGTTCGAGCAAAACTAGGAAAAACATAGTAACCATGAAAATATAGGCCCTTACCTTAAATAAACGGTGTCCGGCTTGGGTTGACAGCATTGGCTGTTTCACACTGGGCGACTTGATGTTGGTATGACAACGACACGGTACCCCGCCCTCAAGTTGTGAGAGTTGGGATCCAGTGCTACCAAAAGTAAAATATTATACAATTCTTCAAGAATTAAAAAAGTAAGTCTTTTAGAAATTAATTTCTGGTTTACTGTGGATCTTCTCCCCGCTCAAGAAATTCACCTAGGGTGTAGAAAGGTCTTTTCATCAGCCATATCTTCAACTCCGTGTATGGGAACAATAAAACACTGGTAGTTCTGTAACATCCGTCTAGTTACGGTGTTTTACTGTTCCCGTAGCTCAAACCTAAGTCAAGTGAGGTTAGTCAAGTAAAAGTAAATTTAAAATATACCAACATATTTACACAAGTACTCATTTTACAAATGGTATGGTATGTAATGAATAAGGATTTAGAATTTACCAACGGGTGTTCTGAAGTCAATGCATTAATGGTCCTAGGGTGGCTGGCCCCGGCACAGACGTAGAATGGAAGGAAGAGTGCAGCGACTGGCTGCGATATGCTAGACAAAGCACACCTTCCCCTAAAAACGTCAGAATCGTCAATGCCATAGCTGCTGCCTACCATGCGGCTCAGAGAGAGATGGAAGAAGCTGGCGAACCTGATGGGGGTGAGTGAAAGGAAAACAGGTTGCCTTATTTTCTCCTATACCCACCACATCAGGTTAGTTTAGGCTGAGTGACCGAATGTTTTAAATTAAAGTAAATGTATTAAATAATGTACAATTAACCTTACTCAACCTAACCTGATCTAACCTGGTGTGATTCCCAAGTAGCTGGTTAGGAATTATTTTCAAGGGGGAATAGAGTTTAGCTAGCTTACCTGAGAAAGTTAAAGAGTCCATGGGCTAATAGATACCCTACACAACTAAAAGATCATAATACAGATTCTTTGTCCTACATTAGAAGTCTTATATTAGTACAACATTTCAGTGTTTATGTTAGGGTCTGCATTAAAAAAATATAAGGTTGTTATGGTACATTGATTTGGACTTTGTAGGGTTGCCACCAGCCATGAAAACCTTGAAAAGCTTGAATTATGCATGAATTCTTGTGACCATGAAAAAAGGCATGGATTATGCATGGATTTCTCCAATGGACCATGAATTTTCAAAATTAGGGACAATTATTCAACCAGTACCATTAAATTTTCCAAATAAAAAATATTTCATATTTAAAAACAGTCTATAGAAACGAACACCCTGAAAATACTGTTTGGAGATGATTATTTAACATGTTCCACGATCAGAAACAATTGCTTAGTTCATTCCAAGTCATCCAAAGATGCTGATGTCAGCTGAGACTTCCCGAGGACTGTATAAGTTATGGTTTGAAAAATCATTAGTAGGCCTACCCCCGCGTATGAAAAAGAGGTATGGGGACTTGAAACACAAAACCAGAAGTTTTATACCATGCACTGAATTGAAACGGGGTGCGCAATAAAACCGAATTTCCGACTCTGACACCTGATTCTTTTAGCTTTTTGGATAAAGCCATCATATCTTGTGGAATAAGATAAACCAGAACGTACATTTTATGACAAATATGTAAGGGAATAAAACAGGACTTTTTGGCTGGGTGAGTGGGATTTTTGTTTTATTCCTTTCGAAAGACTGAATTGGACCTAGACTTAATATATTTTGCAATTCTTTGCCAATATCTCTTATAGAATAGCTGGACCTGTTTTGTTTTCAACTTTGTTTTGAATGTTTATAAATCACTCTAAAAAGTTGTATATTAGGTATGAAAAGTTATTTAAAAGTAACACACAAAGAAACTGCCTCTTTAACGTCAGTTTACGAAATCAGCAAAACTTAATTGTGTTGAAATTGTATAAGCGCATCGACCATGAATTTTGTAAAACTACCAATGAAAACCATGAATTCTGCATGAATTTTATCATCCCTCTATGGTGGCAACCCTGTTTAAGTCGGTTCCCAGTAAAAAATCGGTATGGTTCACGATTACCACTATTTTACCTGTTTTCTTCTAATAGGCCTAGTTATTTTTTACTTTTGTTACACTGACATCAATAAAATGATTGATAGTAGCCTAAAGATCTATTTCAACATCTATAATCATAATGCTGTGGTCAAAAATGTATTATTGATATGAAAAACTCATATGCCTATATCAATGCTTTGGAATGTCTTATCAAATATGCTATACAGTACTAAGTAACAGTGAAAGTATGCAAAGTGTTTGTGACATTACTTTACCGATTGATTATAGCGTAGAAGACGATGATGTCTCTTATGTGCAGTTTGTTTTGCAAGTGAAAAACCACCTCACACATTTTTACATAAATAAGTTTTCAAACATTAAGTCACCTGGGCAGTGAGCACTTTTTCCTATCACCACTATATCGTATAGATCGTTTCGATATAGGCTAGTTTGTTATCGTACCAACCACTCGATTGTTTATTGTACAACTGACACCAGTAAGAAAGAAATGAAAGAACTATCGTAACTAATAAGTCCATTTAAAAGTCAGTAAAAGATTTTGATATAACGAACCGATATTATCCTCCCCGTCGACGGGAATGGGTTCACCGAACGGAGCCTGCCAGCTGTACTGCCCTCTGCCTGTGGATGCGCTCAAGCGTCTTTTGCTATTGCACATCTTTTTGTATGGTTTTTCACTCGCAAAACAAACTGTACTACAGAAGGAGAGCACATTTTACTTTTCAAAACAAGACATCATGTAGTCGGAAGAAATCATAAACGTAAGCACAGGTCGATAAACGATATGTACGTCACATTAAAGGACTTTATTAGTAGAATGCAATGCCACAAATTTGAGTTCAAAGTAACAGCTGGGTAAAAAATGACAGACGTTCAAAGATTCAAAATGGCAGAGTCAAGAAATATTTGCCATTTTTGACTCAGTTGTCTGTTTCAGTTAGGGTTTGCGGCAATGTGTTTAACTAATTGATACCAAAATCAACCTATGCTGCTATTTGAGAATTTCGTCTGACTCATTGTCGTGATTATGCTGAAGGAAAACTTAATGTAGAAGTAGGCTATCTTTGACTGCATTCGAAAAACAATTTTTTTTAATGAGGTTGGCGGCCTCTTTTAACCTTGCATTTGCCCATCCACATAGACTACAGATCTGTGCGTAGAACGTATCCAGCAAAGCAAGGGGTGAGCCGGTACAGTACGAAGGTGAACTGTACTGATAAAATGTTTGCGGCAGTGACCAGGATCCGAACCCACAACATCGCTGCCTTGGGCCCGAAGTCCGTGACTACCGACTGAACCACCGACTCACCTAAATTGATTGGATTTTATTTCTAATGTGACTATCTCTCTCTCTTGAATGCCATGTAGCACACTGTTTACACAATTTTTTATTTTAAGATGTTAATTTTCTCATTTATTTTGTTATTTTAGTGGTTAAAACTATCAAGATAGACAGTAGCCTTTTTGATGATAATGCAAATGAAGAAGAAGCAATTGCAATTGAAGCTAGGCCTCCAGAAGAAATTTTGAATTTTGATAATGTTGCTAAAGAAGAACCTAAAGATGATGATGAAAGTTCTTCCCTCTCTTCAGCATCTGATGATTACCAAATGAAATTGGAAGAAGATATAAAACAACAAGATCAGGTATGGAATTCAGGGTACAGCAGTGGTTTTAATCATAGATAACTTGTATACCATAAGCTCCCGTATTTTTTTTTAGAATTTCAATTTGAAGAAAAAAGAAAGTCTAAAGCTGCGTTGTCCAAGGCGCGTCTGTTGCGTCTGACGCAGAGCGATGATCGCCGAGCGATGATCGCTGAGCGTCGATCGCTTAGAGGCCCGTTGTCCAAGAACGCGTCTATTCATTTCAACAGTTGGTTGCTGACTATTAGCGTTAAGAGCCAAGTGTTGAAGATCCTATCATCGAAGAGATAGAAAACGAGGAAATTCTGGGCCTTAAGTGAACCTCGATTGTGTACCCACAGTGTTTTCAAAAAGAGAAGTGAGGAAGGATATTTTAGAATACTTATCAAAAACCACTTTAATGCAGACAAGAGTCTGTTAAGTGATTTTTTTTACTTTTAATGGAAACAGTTTAAGTTCCGTTAAATCCTTGAAAGTTTAAGTTGTAATAATTTAATTTAATACTAATTTATTATTATTTTGAAATTTTTCTTTACTTAAATACAGATATCTCCTATTGTAAATAACTCCCAATATGTAATCCATAGCTAAAATAAAAGTCAATACTTTGGTGAATGATTTTAGACTATAACTTTAATTTAATTTTGATTTAATTTTGTGTTTTTGTTTGTAGCGGGTCTCTAACTCGTCTGATTTTAATTATCAATAACTCAAATGGAAGCCCTTACATTACTGAATATTTTAAGGTTGAAACGAACTGCAAGCGTTAATATGAACTGGAGATATTTTAAAAAATGATAAAAGTACGAAACGTCTATAAGAAATGTATGGGGAAGAGTTTTCGTTTGAATATCTTTAAAACAAACAAAAAAATTAAAACGGATTCCCGCATTGAAATTAGCATTAAAATCTAGTTATGTAAATGATGTGTCACAAAACTATCATTACATAAAAACAATATGTATATCCAATATGGCGGATCCATGATGGCGGCCATAAACGTGTTTCCTATCGAAATGAAGTACTAACCACCCAATAAATACTGGTGGCTAAATACTGGTGATCTTAAGTCAATATCTCGAAAATGTGGATAAAAAATGCATGTGGAATCATTTTTTATTATTTTTCCAATGTTGGGAAAAACCACCATTTTTTATAATGATTTTAGGGGGTTTCCCATGGACCGATTTTTGGCAACCTTTAGTATATCACTCAGCAGACTCAACACTACAAAATAAAATCCTAAAACATTATCTTGCAATCTTTTTAGGTCATATTCTATATTTCTTTGACTATAGCCATTACTATATTAATAGTGGTTTATTTACCTTGTATTTTCGTCACAGCTCAAAAATGTTGTATAAAGCTACAACCATGGTTTCGACGCCGTTTGCGTCATGGTCACGTAGGACATGTCGAGAATCAAAGCATAGTTGTTGTTGTCATAGTCGGTCGCTTGGACGTCGTCAAAAACACATTAACACAAACACGAACACATACGGACATATTAACACTTAAAAATGTTCTCGGGGACGGAATACAGGCCTGTGTTTATTTAACTGTACCGTCGCGGGAGCCGGCTGGAGAACACTGAGCGCGACGGCGACGATGATAAGACGACCCTTGTACCTTAGGACATGGACTCGTCCTTCTGTAGGGGGTGTGTGTTGAACTAGTCTGACGAACTAGAGAAGTCTTGATGATTTTATTAAAAATTAAGTGGGAACTGTAATTAAGTTTCTCATTTAATACATGGTCGCTTTCCTGTTTTAGGGCCTTATAAATATGAAATTCCTCAAGGGTGTCAAGAGTAAAACCTTTGTTGCATACTTCCATTATTTCAATATTATTTTCAATATTTCCTGTGCTATGTTCTTCATCTATAATGTGTTGAGCGTAGCTTGATTTTTGAGGATTTATTCGGGGATTGGGTTTGTGTTCCTTGGCTCTTTTGGCGAAGGATCTGCCTGTTTGTCCTATGTAAAACTTATCACAGTCGTTGCATTTTAATTTATAGACACCAGTTTTTTCTAATTTATTTGTATTATGTTGTAATTTGGGTTTCAGCAAGTTGTCAATTTTATTTGAGGTTCTTGGAGCTGGAATTATGTTGAAGGGTCTGAGTTCTTTCCTTAATAAATTATGTAGTCCATGGCCGTATTCAATGGGAATATATTTAGGTTTTTCAATCAGTGGTTCATTTTTTTCGTGAGATTGTTTATTCAGCTGTTTAGTTACAAGTTTATCAATCATTTTCGTCTCATAGCCATTGGAACGAGCAATGTGCTTAATCGTATTTAATTCAATGTTATAATCCTCTGGGGACAATGGTATTTTGATCATTCTGTTAATCATGCTATTATAAGCGGCTAATTTGTGGCTGATAGGGTGGTATGAAGATGAGTGTATAGTTTGGTTGGTAGTAGTAGGTTTTCTGTATACACTGTATTTGAATCTATTGTTGAGTTTTTCTATTGTAAGGTCGAGGAAGTTAATCTTATTGTTGCTTTCGGTTTCGAGGGTAAATTTCAGTTTCGGTCGTATGCTATTAAGATATTTATTTAGCAACTGCAGCTGGCGAGCATTACCATCAAATAAGACCAGAGTATCGTCAACGTAGCGATAGTAGAACAGGATTTTATTTTGTTTTGGATTTTGTTCAGATAGGATATATGAGTTCTCTATGTGGTTCAAAAATATTTCAGACAAAATTCCTGATAGAGGGGAACCCATAGCAAGGCCGTCAGATTGGAAATAAAATTTGTTGTCGAAGCTGAAGTAGTTTTGTTTTAGAGTAATATCTAACAGGTTGATCAATTCGGTTCTAGCTTCAGATGTTAAAAATTCGGTATTCTTCAGATGGTTATCGATTATTTGCAATGTTTCATGAATGGGTACGTTAGTGTATAGATTAACCATATCGAAGGAGGCTAGTGTGTGATGATTTTTTACTTCTATGTTTTTTGTTTTGTCGACTAAGTCTATGCTATTCTTCAAACTATGGCTGTCTGTGAATTCAAAATACGATCTAAGTATTTGGTCGAGTTTCTTAGCAACTTTGTATGCCGGTGCAGTTGTGAAATTTACAAGTGGGCGTATTGGGACTTCAGGTTTGTGAATTTTTGGGAGTCCTCTCAAGGATGGTGCTGAAGGGTTCATCATTTTTAAGGTCTTAATTTCCTCGGGTCTCAATAGATTCTTACTGGAGCTAATTGCCTTGTTAATAACACTGGTGTATTTGAGAGTTGGATCCTTATCAATTAGGGTGATGCCATTATCATTGATAAAACGGGTTACCTTATCTATGTATTCAGTCTGGTATAAAATAACAATGGAGTTGCCTTTGTCGGCTTTAGTGAGTATGGCTTTATTGTCTGTTAGTTTTTTCTTAATGCTGTTGAGGGTCCGTTTTTCGTTTGTGTTCGTCCTTTTATTCTTTGAATGAATGTTCTTGTTGTGTATTTGATTTATTTTGCTATTTACAACTGCACGTAATGCGTTACGTTCGTCGGTATTAGGAACAAACTTTATAGCGGACTCAGCTGCTATTAACTCATCAAAAATTCCAGATTTATCGTTTTTGGCCAAACTGTATTTCAAACCTTTGTTTAAGAGATCGGTTTCATGTTTGTCAAACTGTATTTCGGTTTTATTAACTAATCGTGGATAAAATTCAAAATCGAAAACTAGGATTTCATCTCGGGGCTTTTGACTGTTCATAAGTTTAGTGATCTTTTGTTTCTGTTGTTTTTTCTTTTTGTACACCTTTTTACAGATACGGGAATCAATTATGCTAATGTGCTTATCAAATTGTAAAGCATGCAGGGAATCAGCTAGCTCAAGGTGTTTTTTGTAGAGTAACTTGTTTAACATACTTTTCTTTTTATATAGAGATTTTATTTCATTTTTCACCCAAGATATTTCGGCTATTTGTTTGGCTTTTTTAGCTGCAAATGAACGGTTTTTTATTTTTACCTGAACATAGTTTGGTGTTAACATGTGCTTGATACACGTTTTGTTGAAATCTATGTTACATGTTGTGAATGCAAGTTTCAGCTTGATATTCTCGAAATGGCTGGCAAGAGAAGCCTGACTGGCTAATAATTTACTCATTGTTGTGGTTTGCCCCTGAGCTGGTAAGACAAATATTAATAGTGGTTTATTTACCTTGTATTTTCGTCACAGCTCAAAAATGTTGTATAAAGCTACAACCATGGTTTCGACGCCGTTTGCGTCATGGTCACGTAGGACATGTCGAGAATCAAAGCATAGTTGTTGTTGTCATAGTCGGTCGCTTGGACGTCGTAATGTGTTTTTGACGACGTCCAAGCGACCGACTATGACAACAACAACTATGCTTTGATTCTCGACATGTCCTACGTGACCATGACGCAAACGGCGTCGAAACCATGGTTGTAGCTTTATACAACATTTTTGAGCTGTGACGAAAATACAAGGTAAATAAACCACTATTAATATTTGTCTTACCAGCTCAGGGGCAAACCACAACAATGAGTAAATTATTAGCCAGTCAGGCTTCTCTTGCCAGCCATTTCGAGAATATCAAGCTGAAACTTGCATTCACAACATGTAACATAGATTTCAACAAAACGTGTATCAAGCACATGTTAACACCAAACTATGTTCAGGTAAAAATAAAAAACCGTTCATTTGCAGCTAAAAAAGCCAAACAAATAGCCGAAATATCTTGGGTGAAAAATGAAATAAAATCTCTATATAAAAAGAAAAGTATGTTAAACAAGTTACTCTACAAAAAACACCTTGAGCTAGCTGATTCCCTGCATGCTTTACAATTTGATAAGCACATTAGCATAATTGATTCCCGTATCGGTAAAAAGGTGTACAAAAAGAAAAAACAACAGAAACAAAAGATCACTAAACTTATGAACAGTCAAAAGCCCCGAGATGAAATCCTAGTTTTCGATTTTGAATTTTATCCACGATTAGTTAATAAAACCGAAATACAGTTTGACAAACATGAAACCGATCTCTTAAACAAAGGTTTGAAATACAGTTTGGCCAAAAACGATAAATCTGGAATTTTTGATGAGTTAATAGCAGCTGAGTCCGCTATAAAGTTTGTTCCTAATACCGACGAACGTAACGCATTACGTGCAGTTGTAAATAGCAAAATAAATCAAATACACAACAAGAACATTCATTCAAAGAATAAAAGGACGAACACAAACGAAAAACGGACCCTCAACAGCATTAAGAAAAAACTAACAGACAATAAAGCCATACTCACTAAAGCCGACAAAGGCAACTCCATTGTTATTTTATACCAGACTGAATACATAGATAAGGTAACCCGTTTTATCAATGATAATGGCATCACCCTAATTGATAAGGATCCAACTCTCAAATACACCAGTGTTATTAACAAGGCAATTAGCTCCAGTAAGAATCTATTGAGACCCGAGGAAATTAAGACCTTAAAAATGATGAACCCTTCAGCACCATCCTTGAGAGGACTCCCAAAAATTCACAAACCTGAAGTCCCAATACGCCCACTTGTAAATTTCACAACTGCACCGGCATACAAAGTTGCTAAGAAACTCGACCAAATACTTAGATCGTATTTTGAATTCACAGACAGCCATAGTTTGAAGAATAGCATAGACTTAGTCGACAAAACAAAAAACATAGAAGTAAAAAAATCATCACACACTAGCCTCCTTCGATATCGTTAATCTATACACTAACGTACCCATTCATGAAACATTGCAAATAATCGATAACCATCTGAAGAATACCGAATTTTTAACATCTGAAGCTAGAACCGAATTGATCAACCTGTTAGATATTACTCTAAAACAAAACTACTTCAGCTTCGACAACAAATTTTATTTCCAATCTGACGGCCTTGCTATGGGTTCCCCTCTATCAGGAATTTTGTCTGAAATATTTTTGAACCACATAGAGAACTCATATATCCTATCTGAACAAAATCCAAAACAAAATAAAATCCTGTTCTACTATCGCTACGTTGACGATACTCTGGTCTTATTTGATGGTAATGCTCGCCAGCTGCAGTTGCTAAATAAATATCTTAATAGCATACGACCGAAACTGAAATTTACCCTCGAAACCGAAAGCAACAATAAGATTAACTTCCTCGACCTTACAATAGAAAAACTCAACAATAGATTCAAATACAGTGTATACAGAAAACCTACTACTACCAACCAAACTATACACTCATCTTCATACCACCCTATCAGCCACAAATTAGCCGCTTATAATAGCATGATTAACAGAATGATCAAAATACCATTGTCCCCAGAGGATTATAACATTGAATTAAATACGATTAAGCACATTGCTCGTTCCAATGGCTATGAGACGAAAATGATTGATAAACTTGTAACTAAACAGCTGAATAAACAATCTCACGAAAAAAATGAACCACTGATTGAAAAACCTAAATATATTCCCATTGAATACGGCCACGGCCATAGACTACATAATTTATTAAGGAAAGAACTCAGACCCTTCAACATAATTCCAGCTCCAAGAACCTCAAATAAAATTGACAACTTGCTGAAACCCAAATTACAACATAATACAAATAAATTAGAAAAAACTGGTGTCTATAAATTAAAATGCAACGACTGTGATAAGTTTTACATAGGACAAACAGGCAGATCCTTCGCCAAAAGAGCCAAGGAACACAAACCCAATCCCCGAATAAATCCTCAAAAATCAAGCTACGCTCAACACATTATAGATGAAGAACATAGCACAGGAAATATTGAAAATAATATTGAAATAATGGAAGTATGCAACAAAGGTTTTACTCTTGACACCCTTGAGGAATTTCATATTTATAAGGCCCTAAAACAGGAAAGCGACCATGTATTAAATGAGAAACTTAATTACAGTTCCCACTTAATTTTTAATAAAATCATCAAGACTTCTCTAGTTCGTCAGACTAGTTCAACACACACCCCCTACAGAAGGACGAGTCCATGTCCTAAGGTACAAGGGTCGTCTTATCATCGTCGCCGTCGCGCTCAGTGTTCTCCAGCCGGCTCCCGCGACGGTACAGTTAAATAAACACAGGCCTGTATTCCGTCCCCGAGAACATTTTTAAGTGTTAATATGTCCGTATGTGTTCGTGTTTGTGTTAATGTGTTTTTGACGACGTCCAAGCGACCGACTATGACAACAACAACTATGCTTTGATTCTCGACATGTCCTACGTGACCATGACGCAAACGGCGTCGAAACCATGGTTGTAGCTTTATACAACATTTTTGAGCTGTGACGAAAATACAAGGTAAATAAACCACTATTAATATTTGTCTTACCAGCTCAGGGGCAAACCACAACAATGAGTATAGCCATTACATTAAGATACTGTATATAATGGAGTATACGGGAGAACACAGAAACAACAATGCAATAGACGCAATAGACGCTGGCCGTCAGCGATCCCGTCTGCTCCCGGAGCAGTGCCCCGCGTCAGACGCTAGAGACGCTCCCTTGGACAACGGGCCCATTGAAATCAATGCTTGGCAGTCACTGAGCGTCCATCGCTAGCGTCTATTACTCAGCGTCATACGCAACAGACGCGTTCTTGGACAACGGGCCTTTAGTCTATAATATGATTTTTTTACTATTGGTGTACGTACAACCAATTTGTTGATTAAAATACGTTGTGTATTAGACTAGTTAGACAAAGTAGACAAATTACAGATACTATATTATACATTATATATAACTTTTTTAAAACTAAATTTGCTGTTCCTTAAAAATTTTTTCCAGTTATATATTTTCCTTAAACCATTCATAGGCTGGTAATTTTAAATTTTGGACAAACTCTGTTTTTAATTCAATTTCTCCCTAGTCGGGATACTGCTGACTCTCCCAGTTGAAAAATTATGTAAAACATTTGTTGTATAGGTATAGGATGTGAATGGAGTTGGGTTAAAATAAAGTTACAAACATTTAATGTCAGAGTGAATAAATTGTTACTCGGATTGGATAGATACAAATATAACTCTCACAGCTTTTTTGTATTACCACCCTCACCCTTCCTAGGGCAAAAATTGCCACTTTTACTCTGTTGTCTACAATATTCATTAGAAGCAACACCAGCCAAAAGAATCTATTTTGAACTGGGTACATTAAGTGTGTATCTGTGTCAGTAGTGGTATGATTAGTTTTTAACTTTTGAGTTTCACCAGTCATGCAGTAACAAACATTCAAACTCTTTCAGAAAGCAGATATTTCCAAAGAAGAGTTGGATGCCAGTTTGATGCCTCCTCCCCCACCTGTGATCGTCATACCTTCTCCAACCCATGTCACTTCTCTTCCCTCCCCTCCTGCTGTTATCACGGTCCCCCCTCCCGCTGTTATCACGGTCCCCCCTCCCACAGACTCAGTGGTAGCTACCGCACCAAAACCTGCATCCGTCCAACCAGCCAGTCCTGTGTTGTCGGAAGAGGAGGCTAAAGCGCGTGCTGACTTTTTATCTTCTCTCCCTCCCCTTGTGGTGGTTCCTCCTCCAGATCCGTCTGAGACGACTGGCCTCCCCTCCCCTTCTGCCTCGCCACGTTCCCCTTCGATGGTTATCTCTCCTACGATGTCTCTCCAGATAAGGGAGGACCCTAAGAAGAGGAAACGTTCAGCATCACAGCTGCAAGATTCTGCCACACTCCCCACATCTGCCAAGACTGTCGCCCTTAGTTCTTACTCAAAGGTGAAAATTATATGATATATACAGTGGATTTACAATTATTGTGAAGTGAACATGTCGTCTTGTTCCTATTCAATGAATAAATTATTCAAGTATTACACACACAAAATAATTAAGCTCAGAATATTTTATAGGATCAAAAGAACAAAAGGTATTTGACTGTATGAAAGTAAATAAAATACCATGGTGGAAGGAAAATACATAGGTGTACTATTCCCGTCATATTCTGGCGTCACTCAGATTGCAAACAAAAGATCGCCTGATTGTAACTGTCAAATTAGTATTTGTTTTGATTTGGTTGTTATTGATTTATAATGAACACATTCTATTTTGAAAACATTATAAAAAAAATAACAATCCAATCAAAACAAATACTGTACATACAATTTGACTGTTACAATCAGGTGATCTTTTGTTTGAAATCCGAGTGACATCAGAATATGACGGGAATAGCACACCTTTGTATTTTCCTTCCACCATGATAAAATACAAGATGAGAAATAACAGTGAAGGAGTAAACAAACAATGATACAACAATCTGAGCAATTACTTGCCTCTCTCACTCTCAATTAAACTGTTGAATGATTATCTTAGTCATTTGCGCAGATGACTCGTGTGATGGTCACAGCTACTAGTTCTGGTCAGGTGAAGGTCGCACCTATAATCAGCCGAGCTAAGACGGCCACCACACCTATGGTTCAGAAGGTGAGTGTAGTGGTGGTAAAATTAGTCATACAAATAATTTTTCTTTATAAAAAATAGGTTTGGAGTTCACATTTTCCACATGGGCCCCAGGTCTGTGTGTGAAATGTATAGAACAAGGGGTGAGTCGGTACTGTTAAGTAGCAGCACCAGCATCCCTTTTATTTCCTTGGTTTCACAGTTCAAAGTATAAGTCTTAGTATACCCTTATAAGTCAAAGATTTCAAATATTTAACCCAGATAAGTCAAATTTAACAGTTTTCAATCAGTAATATTCTTCTAATACTTGAATTTCCCTGTTAGAGCCTCACTAACTCGACGTTTACCTATATATGTCAAAGTTTGCACCATGTACCTCAATAACTTGTAGCTCAATAAGTTTTGTCGTATTGTGCAAGTCAGCTCGGTTTTAGTTTTGATTCCTGTCAAGACATGAAAATCCAACTCCTTTTGTTTGTTTGGCCATGACTTGTACTGTTAGTCTGCTAGTTGTTGAGATTATTTTGTGCTCGTCGGACTTCATGTTGTCAGTTACGTAAGTGTAAAAGTTTGACGATAAAAGAAGTTATTGGTAAAAGTAAAATTGTCTGGGAATTGGAATTCTGCCTAACACTTTATCGACTATAATGAAAAACCCAGAAAAAAATGAGGCTGAACTGAAGGTGGATCAATACAAAGAACGGTTCAATCAATGTAAGAACGGTATCAGGACCGATTTTCCAAGAGAAAGCCATGCAGTAGGGCATGCCATTTGTATGCATGATAAATTGTTTTATTTTGCTTCCGCAGTTACTATTCTGAACGTATAAATAGCTTGTTTTTAATTTATAAAGGTTGCAAAAGTCGAGTTATGAAGGTACACACTAAGGATTCAACACCTCAGTACCTCGAATTTTCGATGTATACCTTCATAACTCGAACCTCGTTTACTCATAAAACTTGATAACTCGAATTTGTATCATTCTCAGATTCCTTCAGATCCTTCAGATTTGAGATATCGAGGTCCTACTGTACTGTAGTTGCATTTTGTGACACACAGCCTGAAATTGCAACATTTATTAAGCAGAAATACTAAATATCAGAATGGGATTATTATGTACAAGGATAGGGATCAGCTAGCTTACCTGGTAGATAGAGTCCAGATTAGCCTTGATTACACAGGTAAGCCTCTATCTACCAGGTAAGCTAGCTGATCCCTATCCTTGTACATAATAATCCTAATCAGCCAATTGGCCTTTCCTTAACTCCTAAATATCGGAATGGCGATTGAAAAAAAAATCTGCAATGATTGATCATTTTAAACTTAATCTGGCCCCGATAGCAGGAGAGTATTGACTGTGGTTTGTCTCGTGGACACATTTTTCTTTTGATCAAATTTAGTCTTTAATAAAATTAAGAAATATTGATTTAAGAAGATTTCCTACAACCAAAGCAATCTATAGCAATAAAAAAGGATGACATTGGAGGTCATGTGGAGTGATTCCATACCTCAAGCTTTCTTTGAAGACTGTAGCTACTTCCCTTGGAGATTAGTAACTTAAGCTCAACAAAAATAACTGACATTTTTACAGGTAGTAATTGTATCAAACACTCCTACATCCAACACGGGCAACACGTCCATGATGCAACGTTCTCCAAATGTGCCTATGGGGTCTTTGAGTCTACCAATCGTCCGTGGGAATCAACCTAGACTCCAGACGGTTACAGGTAGCCTACTTTTGAAATTGTTAGTTGTACAGAAAGACAACTCCAATCATCCACCAATTATCAAGATCCCTTCAAGTAGAGAAAAAGTAATTGCCAGAAAAGCAAGTTAATTTAATTTTAGTATCTTGCAGATTGGGTTAATGTGTTACATATTCTTATGTGTGCTAATTGTGTCCAACATGCGGTGGATCTATTTATTGTCGTGTCGATTGTTGGTGTTTTAGCGACGAGTCGTATGCCTAGTGTCTTATAAACATTTTAAGCCTACTTGAAAATCCAATCATCCAGTTTTTTTGCCATCCAGATTGGGTCCGGTCCCAATTAATTTGGATATTTGGAGTTTTACTTTCAATAAAAAAATATTATACTTTGAGTGAAAGTAATCTTGTCAGTTTTGAAACGCTGCCATTTTATTATTGTGAATGTCATCATGAATAGATTTAGCTTACTAACTTGGGGAAATTAGTACCCAAAGTGTTATTTTGGTTTTCTACTTTCTAATAAAGTCCAAAAATGAGAATATCAGTATTATGTTTGTAAACTCTTATTGTATCTTTACCTTGTTTACTACCACGGTATGCTTTTGGATTTGTTTAGTTAAATGATAAATTTAATCATTTTGCTATATTCCTATTAATGTGAAGCTACTGCATTTAGTACAACAAATTATAACTAAATTACAAAATCCGTTTGACAGAAAAAAACTGAAAATTGCTGGCATACCTCAATCAATTTTGGTTACAATACTGATCAATGTTGACCACTTACAAGTAATAAGATCGAGTTCCTCCCGTGGTAAAAAATATCTTGGGTTGGGAATAATGTTATTTTTTATTTATTTATGTTTCAGCTCAAAATTGTGGAACAGTGAGGCCCAAAATGGTGACTGTGCCAGCTAAAAGTAAAGCCAAAGGCAGCAATATGGTAAACCTTCAGTTGAAAAACCCCGTCACACTGAAACAAGACAATGTTACTGGTGGTAAGTTTTTAAAACATAATGTATTCTATTCCGTCTAGGTTATTCCTGGGTCTTGGGTTAAATAGGAATCTCCATTTTCTTCTTCCTCCACCATTTGTCATCTCACATATTTCCTATTACAACTACTTTTCACCTCATAAATCCACCTTCTAGGTCGTTCTCTAAGTGTCCTTTTCTCCATCACCACCAATTCCATGTTGCTAGTAAATTTTTAATCTCACCTAATAGTCGTGAAGAAGTCTGGACAGCTGAACAGTGCCTGCCAAGTAATCAGTAGGTCGCTGATCCTGAGAAAAGTCAAGTCTTTAATGGTTTTAAACTGGACCAAAACTAACAGCTGGTCTTGGTCAGTAATGAAGCTAGACCAGGTACATATGCCATTCTACACTAATCCTTCACTCATATTCAGGTCAAATGTTTGCAACATTGCGTCCATATAATCTATATAATTAATACGCCAACACGAAATTTGTCGGTTAAACTCCTCCTCCATTTCTTAACCGATTTTATCCATTGACATCTCATTGGAAACTGCGTGTCACGTGGATTTGCAAACTGACCTTACATTTTTGAAAAACTCTTGGGCTCTGCCCCAGTGGCTTTTAAAGTTCCCATGTTTTCCTTATGAAGAACATTTTTGTTTACATTATGGTCAGCTGGATATTTAATTGCTGTTAATATTTAAGCTGCAATTCAAAGAAATGCGTCCTGCCAAAATTAAATCTTTAAAAATTAAATCACTGAAAGAACCTATTTGTAAATCATGGAAATATAAAAAATATAGAACGCCACCGAGTAGAAAGAATAGAGATAATATTTTTAAAGAATTTATTATCGTTATTAGCCTATATAAAGGAGAACACCTACAAGATTCAGATTCCTACAAACGATGAACGAGGATGTTAGCCGAAGTGCTACAATTTTTAGTAGGAAACATGGGCTTAACTTTGTGATCGTTGCGGAGGAAAGCCCTCTAAGGCCAAATAAATCTGGTACGTCAATTACATTAATCTATGTTTCCATAAAAGTGAAGTGATTTTAGAATAATAGCCTATGAAAATATCCAAGAAACCCTTAGTTAAATTGTTATTGAAGGTATTTAATTATTATTCATATATAGCTAAGGGAAACAAAAACCAACTGAACAACATCAGGTCTTTAACTCTGCATTTTCTCAGGTAAATATATTTAACGTTACTGCAACTAAACAAAAATATGCCAATTGATCAAATAAAACTATGACAGACAACAGGAAGTCCTTAAGGTGATAAAAAAATGTTCAATCTTTATTAAAGAATCACTGAAATTTGTAAACTTACTGCTGGCGACAAGGGTGGTACCATACATAGGTTTATAACTAAGATAAATGGATGACGCGCATAACTAAGATAAACATGGACAACCTTATGCGGCTATAAGTCAGGAAATGTTTGTAGAAAACATTAAAAAGCAATACCAGGTTATGAAATATGATAAAATCTTTACAGGAAATGTTGATTACTGTTATATACATCGTGAGTATCTCCATGAGTTACACCCCGGTAATCTTTGAGTTGACTGTTTTAAACTCATTATAAATATGATTGTTTTTAAAATAACTTCTGTAATACTTTGCAATTGCTCGAATTTGAGCAACATGTACACTAGTTATAATTCTCACATGCCCAGACATATTAGTTTTCTTTTTTCAACTCTCCCTTAAACTATCAACTATTACCCCTCATCTGAACCCTTTATTATTCCTTAAATGATATTTAGTGTTAATACCTCACTGTAGTTAGGAAACAATTGAAAATGGCTGAATCATAATGAACATGATTGCATCAATTGGAACACTTTCATGGGTAATGTAAACTGTTGCAGGTGTGGACACAAATTTGAAAAGACTCTCAGGACCAGCCAAGATTCTGCCAAAGCCATCAGGATCAATGTTTGTAGTGAACACCAGCCATGGTGATCATAAACTAGCTACAGCTATGGGTAAGTAGATTAAATTTAACAACTTATTGTAGAGAGCAATTGTTATTCAAATCTATCAGATCAATTATTGATAAGTAAAATACAAAAGTGGGAACACTCAAATTGAAAACTCTTCAAGTTGATTGAAACAACTTAGGTTGAGATTAATTTTTATTAAACTTCAGTTCTCAAGGTTATCTGAAAGTATCTGATTCCAATAAATTAAAAATTGTTTTTATAAGGTAGTTTAAGGAGTTTCAGTGCATATTGAGTTTTTTTGAAGGTCTATCTGGAGGTTTTCACTAACAAAGGATGGATTTTAGAATACAGTTTAAGAGTTTTGTACTAGTTGTATGGATTTTTTTATGGTAGTTCATTGATTTTACACCAGCACAGAACAGGGTTTAGAAGGTTGTACAGTGATTGTATACAAGCAGAGAGTAGGCTTTTTGGAATGATGATGTAAAAAGTTGTAGTTTAAACAATCTATTGAGCTATGAGTGTAAAAAAATCCTTTTGTTTTTCATTTGAGCAGTAGCACAATAGATGAACAGGTTAAAAGCTAAAAGATAAAATTTAGTTTGTCTTTGTTTGACTGCCTTCTCACTAGGCTGAAGCCACTCGTTAGCCACTAGATCTGTAAAATTGCATTACGAGTCTGATCGTTAGCAGCGACCCAGTCGCCACAAAACTGTGTCACAGGCCAATGGCTGCCCACGTACTTTGCAGCGGCTCAACTCTTAGCGGACCACTGTAATGTACGTGGCTGTTCACATCAGGGGTGGGCCCACTGAATCTGTTGGTAAACCAAAGAAGAAAGGGAAAGTCTTCCACAGGGAAAATACAGTAGAACCCCGGCTAACCGAAACCCGGATTAACCGAAACGGTCCCATAAAATTTAACATAAATACAGGGCTGAAATTTAAGTATTAATAATTGTAAAATGCTTTTTAGTAACTTCAGTTGTTTAGTTTAAAACATGTTCTTACTAACCCATTTGTGGGGTCTTGACTGGAATTAACCCAGCTAGATCCACATTTAATAAATATCGTGCTGATTCCACTACCCAATAGCACTCACGTAAACCCTGCCCAGCGTAAGCCAGCTTTGATAAGTCGTGAATAAATTCATTAACTACATTTTTATTTAATTTTAACTACCCCTCGCCATTGAAACTCGCCTGCAGCAACTTGCCCTAAACATGATATCGATAATTGTAAAGTTAATTTAGTTACATCAGTTAATTTATTGTTGGTTGAACCTGCCCTAATTTAGAAAAGATACCCCTTACCCCCTTTATCCCCCAAAAGATTACAATTAATTAGACATTATCGGTACTTTACCAACTGTTGACCAAGGATCAGGACCTCCTTCTTCTTCGGCGACGGATCTCAGACCAACCTGCTTGCCGGCGGTTGGTCTTTTCCGGTTGGAGCGCTAGTCTCGGTCCGACTAGAGCTGTCTGCCTGCCTTTGGATCAGCCGATGGGGTTGACTCTTACCTCAATATATATAATTATTGGCGGTGATGTGGGTTACTCCCACACATTGTAACATTTCTGTAGCTAAAATAAAATACAGTATTATAAAAATATTGTTTAAAATTAATTTTGCCAACTCCCCGTGGTAATACATAGGCTATTCATAGCATTGATAAGTTAACCAAAAAATTGGTTATCCGAAATGGTTCTCCCCCCTTTATTTTGGTTAACCGGGGTTCTACTTTAGCATATAACTCAACTCCAAATAAATCATACCACATGAAAAAGAGGTTGTTTTTACTGAGAATATTGCAGCCACTATGTGTGAAGGAACAAGCGTGGCTGCCACCTAGTGATACAATTTACTCTAATGTTAACAGGTGGTAAGGAAGGAGGAAAGCAGAACGTTGTGATTGTCCAAAAAGGAGGCAACAAGAGATTACTGACGTTGTCTGACAAGGTATGTTGGAAGAATAATTGTACAATTTTATTACTGGCTTGGAGTTGCTAAACCGATCACTTAAAAAGAACAAACAAATTTACACTAATATCGAACAACAGGGTAAAACTGACTACAGGTAAAAAATCATTCTGATCAGAGGGTAACTGTATTAAGTAATAAGATTTTATAGTTACAATATCGGACTGCTAAAAATTTAGTTCATCAATAAATCTTTACAGCTTCATAAGAGTAAAAAATATATCTATATTATGAGTTATTTTAAATGTTAGAAGGTTTAAATAAATATAAAATTACTTTTAAGATTGAGGTAAAAATTAAAGCATAACTATCTATGAGAAAACAGTTTAGAATATTTATTCATAATTTAATTTCCTGTAATATATATGATCTATACTGGGCAATTGATTCAATTAGTTGTACATGTTTGTTACCGTTGATGTTTTTTTTTTTTTTTTTTTTTTATTAAGATTATCTAGTTGGGACAACACTCAACCCCAACTCGTCCAAGTCCAGAACTTGACAAATATCAAAGATATCCACAACTCAAAACCAAGTTATCCGGAACCCATATGTTGAAAGATAAAAATTATGCCACATATGTCGGAGCAAGAAATGATTGCGAACTGTTGAGTCAAGGACGGATGTTTAGTGTGTGTTTGAGGGTTTATTCAATTTCTCTCTTGAACCCTGGATTTTACCAATGTGATTTGATTGTTGCCAAATGTATTCCAGATTCAGTGTTTGTATTCAAATCAATAAACACAAATAAAGCCCAACACCTTATTTCAGGATTTGATGGAGAAGCTTATGTCCAAGAAGTGTGTTGTTATCCAGTCTTCAAAGATGGTGCCGAAGAACATCTCTCCCAAACCACTGGCTCAACCATCAACATCTCAAACACAACCACCGACATCAACATCCCAACAGCCACCTCAGCAACAACAAACACCACCCGTCATATCGGCATCTGTGAGTATACAAGGGATCAATTGAAATGGTTGTAACAATGCCTAATAATCTGATGGTCGCTGGTTAGATCAAATCCTTTGCTCAGTAGCTATTTGATGGTTCAAAACTGGACCCAGCTGTCCAACAGCTGATGCTTATCAGCTTATGCTTTTAAATAAGCATCAGCTGATCTTAATGAGTAATATAGCAAAGCAATAGAACGTTTTTCATTCCACGCTTAATTTTTTATTCATATTTTTGTTTTTAAATACACTTTGGCTGTTTTACAAAACAGTATAGGTGTGCAATCAGCTTGATTTTCAATTTTCTCGATTCGATGACGATCGCTTTTGAGGTTCTACTGTATTAGTTAAATTCATTGTATAAAAAGCTCAGGTCAAAAATCACCTCAGGCTCGCACACCTCTACAAAATAATGATACACCTGTTACTTGCTGTTTGTTCTTTTTGGGCCAACAACTCATAAAAAAATATGTAAATGTAGTGTATTGTAGTGTATATTGATAACCTCTGCTCTGTTACAGGGTAACACTGTAGTCGTGGACCTTAGTCAGGAGCAGTACAGACAGAACCTGGGCGACACCACAGTCAGGGATATCCTACAGGCAGCTGGCATCATCAGTCAACCTACCACTACACCACCAGCACCAGGTACCAACTATGACAAGACCTCCTAGCTGTTATTGATCATTGGTGCTGGTTAAATAAATAGCTCTCAGTCAGTAGCTACACATCATCTCCAATCTACACTCATCTTGCATTCATTTTCATCTTAAAATACACACCTAGATAACGTCGCTGCCTCAAAAATAATCATTTTAATTCCATAACCTATTACATCACAATCCAATAAAAATTACTGCCGGTGGAAGTGCATATGTATATATCATTACTGTGGACCTGGAACAAAATTCAGCGGTAAAAATTATTACCGGTTGAAGTGCATATGCCCGGTTATCATTACTGTGGACCTGTAACTAAATTCGGTGGTAAACATTATTACCGGTGGAAGTGCATATGCCCAGCTATCATTACTGTGGACCTGGAACAAAATTCGGCGGTAAAAACTATTACCCTTGGAAGTGCATATGCCCGCCTATCATTACTATGGACCTGTAACAAAATTCAGCGGTAAAAATTATTACCGATGGAAGTGCATATGCCCGGCTATCATTACTGTGGACCTGTAACAAAATTCGGCGGTAAACATTATTACCGGTGGAAGTGAATATGCCTAGCTATCATAACTGTGGACCTGGAACAAAATTCGGCGGTAAAAATTAGTACCGGTGGAAGTGCATTTGCCTGGCTATCATTACTGTGGACCTGGAACAAAATTGTAAAAACTGCTATATACAGTACTGTGTATTTGCCCGACTCTCGATAGTCCGGATTTTTCGTAATCCGGACCGGATGTCCGCCATATTAGTCCCGATGAGCGTACATGGATACAGACAGCTTTATGTTAGTATACAAATCGGGAAATCGGTCTTGTACATGGATACAGACAGCTTTATGTTAGTAAAAAAATCGGGAAAAAATCGGATCCATCAAAACCGGATCCAGCCCAAGATCCGGAATTTCTTGGATCCGATCGGGTGCCGTTTCCAGCTTGGATCCGGCGGATTCGGTAGTCCGATATCCGAATCCGACCATCACTAATTTAAACTATTCACTTCACCTTTAAGCTCTCAAATGGTTAATATTACTACTGTCTTAAGTTTCAGAACCGACACAAGTATCAAGCAGGGAAGGAGAGTGGTTGCCTGTGGAGACTAGCAAGAGTCTTTCATTGGAGGAGGTGTCACTGCCTCTCGGTCAGGCTGAATCCTTCGTCACTTTAGGTACTTAAAAAAACATATCTCCATACCAGGCCGGTCACTGAAAAGTCACAGCCTACTAGAAAGTCACAGACGTCTTAGATAAAATAAATATATAGGAAGGAGAGGACAAAGCGCTATGTCCTCTCCATCCTATATATTCATTTTATCTAAGCTAAATGTTTTTTCCTAAAAACAGAAGTCTTAGATAGTAATATATTTTATTACTAGGCGTGTTGGATGTTTTTGAAAAGTCGCAGATTTTACTAGGGAGTCACAGAAGTCACTGGAAAGTCACATGTTTGTCTAGGGGCCACAGATTATATTCAGTAGTTCAGGGGCTACTATATTCAGTAGCCACTGAAAATTGACAAAAGATTTTTGTGGAAAGGAATTGAGTTCAGCCAAATTACCTTAGAATTCAGGTGCTACACAGTAAAAAACACAACACATGGCAATGATATTTTGTCCTAGTATAGGAATCCGTCAGAGTGTAGGTTGAAAAGAAAACATATCTAATTTAACACTGCAGGGAATAAGTACTGAGTGTTGTATAACTCTTACCGTATAGAAAAAATCCAGAAGTTTAAACAAATTATATTTTTTGTTCAAGACGAAGCTGTTGAAATGCTTGAGGAACAACAAATAGAGGAAGGAGTTCCAACAAGTGAGAGTAGTGGATTCACTCAAGTGAGCACAGAACAATTGTTCACCATTACTTCAGGTAAGTTTTATTTTTTATTGTGTACTGAAATAGAAATAATAGCTTTGTCGCAACAAAGCAGGTCAAAAAAACTTTTAGTTGCTCAATTGAAATTTACAAACATGATCACAATTTAAAATGTTTGTTTTACTACGGTTATATATAAACCAATAGGTAAAACGTGGGAATTGTGAAACACTTTACTATTAAACTAGTGGAACCCCGTCGAAATCGACGGTCAATCTTGAGGTTTTATGTAAATTCAGCTAACTGCGATAGATAGAGTGAAGTCATTAAAATCTTAGTTAAATGATGGGAGGATAAGCAATAATAAGTATGACGATTGTATTCCCTAAAAAACGTGATTGATGAATTCGTTTAACACAATATTTTCTACCTTTTTATCGGCTTTAGGTTGCCCAAAAGGTTTTTTTAGGGGTCTTCTAATTGTTTGTTCATGAGTTTGTTTCATGTAAAAGCCACTTTCACTATATGGGAGAATGAGTTCATATAATTAGTCTATTATGTTACGGAAAGAGTCAATATTTATTACTAACAACTAATTCCATCTGCTTTAGGAAAATCATTTGGATTGTATCCGGATTTATAAGTAAATCTTCATCTTTGGTCCTAAAAATACAGAATTTTATCAGCATATTAAATTAGTTTTTTTGTATTTGATAAAAATATCTGATTCTCCAGAAAGCAGTAACATTATTACTTCGATCTAAGCAATTTTAATTCCTTCTCTGGCCACATCGACCCATGTATTTAATCATCCTGTTCTTACTTGATAATTCGTTAACTTATGGGGTAGTTTTGCCTTGGCCATATTGATCACATAAAGCTGTGCATGTATTTCGTGGATGAAATGAACCATAATTGTAGGAAATTTGATCACAAATCTTGAACATTTGCGGAACCAAATCCATAACCTAGTCCAGCCTTGGTAACAAATTATGCAAATGCGATGAGATGTGATGACACTGTTGTGTTTCCGAATGTTTTGTACATAGTGAGGTTTAGATGCGTTGTTCGACCTAGCTACATGTGTACATCAAAATAAAAACCCTGTACACATTGTTTTTAATACCTGAATTGACATTAGTTCAACTACTTCACCAAAACCATAGACGAAACATACTCCGTAGTTATTCTATTCCAAAACTTGAACACAGCTCTCATCCTCAACGTACTCATCTATGAAACAATTTGCAACCCGATTATCAAAAACCTTTATACCAATAAATGAATTTCTGGTGTTCTTTCTTGAATTAAAAAATAAATGGTGATTGAAAGTAGGCAAAAAAAGGCAAGTGCCAACCTTACAATATATATAAGCTAAACCGATAAGGAATAATGATATATTCCTTCGAAATTGATATGTCACACTTATTTCATCATTTAAAATTTTCTAAGAGCAATAAAGTATAGATTTTAGAACAAAACATTTAAAACGTATAATAAATTCATCATTTTGTTGAAACTATAAAAAACTTGCCATGCAGTGGAGAATCAATTTAAAATCATAAATAATAATGTAAACATTTATTTTTGACAGTTTCAGTAGACCTTTGAATACAATTTTAATATTAACAGCTGGTTCATTAAAAGTAGTTTAAAATTATCCATATGGTAGTAATGTAAACAAAATTGCAGAGTGAACTTTAAAGGCCTCTGGGGCAGAGCCCCAAGGAAATTGACCTCGTTTCTCTTTTGAGGGCTCACCTACAGACCAATACCTTTCTTTAGACACCCCTACCAAGTTTTTACGCCCAACTGTTCTCTCAAATTAGCTGTGACAAAAACCCCGTTTTCCTTCATAAGAATAACATGGGATGGGAATTTAAAGGCCACTGGGGCAGAGCCCCTAGGGAATTCACCATGTTTCTCTTTTGATGGCTCATCTACAGACCAAGACCTTTCTTTGGACACCTCTGCCGAGTTTCTACGCCCACCCGTTCTCTCAAAATAGCTGTCACAAAGAAAAACAGTTTCAAATTAATATATAGATTTCTCAAATTTGCTTTAGACTTTAGGACACTTTTTCAAGAAATTGGTTTGGGACATTATTAAACACTCCTAACAAACTGGTATAGTGTCATCTATATTAACAACCTCAGTTTGATGACATTTTATTGTGAAATATATTATTATATTTACACCCATTGTTTTAAGTAACAATTAATGATTACATATGGCCCAAACATGTACAGGAAAACACAGATTTAGTACAAGATTTGTTCCATCGTTTGCGCCCTCTCATTTTGTAGGCCTAGCTAGGCCAATTGCCTGCGCCATGACGGAATATTTTTGTTGTTACCTAACTAACTACAATTGATTTGAGTTTTTAATTATGGTTTTGGTTTGTGAACGAGGTGCAGTTAAAGGGGTTTTACTGAATGTGAAATAAATATTTTTATGTTTTGCATCCTCAACTTCAACTATAATGAATAGCTGATAAGCTCTAGTTTCCCCTTGTTTTCTTATCTAGTTCAACATAAGCTACAAAACCCAGTAAAAAGATTATATTCCTGTCAACAACCCAACAGCCGGATTATATTAATCTTGGACTCACTTATTGTTACTTTCACAGACCAACTGACAAGTGGCGACTTGGCTGTTATCGCAGACGACGCAGAGGCACCAGTGACTCAGATAGTCATGGAGGCATTGCCATCAGAGGTAACTTTATGGTTGAAAATTGCATGTTTCATCACTGAGCCTAAAGTGACTATTTTCGACACAAACTCAAAAATACCCCCGCCACAGCAAACCTGCAGACTAAGTGAATTTCCATTGCCTGATTAGATTTTCACTTAAATTTATTTAAAAAACATTAAATGTGTTTAGCTAGTAAATAGGTTTGCCGCTACAGGGAGAGTATGGTTGATTTTTCTCCCTATATAAGTTGAACTCTCGATAATTCAAGTTTATCTGCTTGGCCCACCAATTTTGAATTATCAAGTCTGCTGTACAATAATTAAATGTGTTGTTCTCTGTTCCAGGTATTGTCAGATCTAGAGAGTATTAACCAGCCGTTTATGCCCCATAGAGATGGAGCCGTTACCATACAACACAGCAATATTGGTAATCTACTAATTTGTGACTACCTCAGTAGTAAATGCAGTGCAACCTCACCATAGCTAGTATTTCAATGGTTTAATTGTTTACTCAATGCAAAGTTTACTACTAGAACTAAACTTGTAAAGCCCTAGTCAACAATTTAAGACATATACTTAGTAATCATTTTATGGTTTTGGAGCGTTTACACGGGGCTAATTTATAATCGCTAATCAATTAGCAGCTTATACTAGCCTCAGGCACATGGGTCTCAAGGTAGGGCAATCTTGGGTTAAGACCTTTATGTAACAATTTCCTCTGCTCTTGACATCACTGGCTACCTTCACAACAATGTTTAGACGGGAAATCTATCAAACGTTTAGAATTTATCTTGATCATTTCCGCAATTTTCCAGATGTTCCTGCAAACATGTCACTAGAAGATTACTCTTCTCAGCAGATGGAGAATTAAACATCCCTTAATGTGATAAATCAAGATTTGGAAGCATCCTTCAAATTGTGTAACAGATCCCCATTCTGTAACAGGATCTTTGTCAACCTTCCAAATCCTTTGGTTTGGTGCTTTATTGCAGAAAAACATAAAAACATTACAAAATTATTTAAAGTACAAGTTTTGCAGCCAAAAACTCTATATCCTGTTTAAAATGTTTGGTAATCCGAAACATTAAACACCAATCCATACCTTTCGCACTGAGTAATGCTAATAAACTCTCCTTCTTCCTTAAGGTGTTGCACAAATTAGTTCCTCAGTGTGTGATTTAGATATAGTTTATCCTTGTTTAACGCTTTTAAGAAAATCTAATCTCAAATTTAAATTCAAAGATTAAAACATTCAAAACCAGCTTGTTCAAATTTAAACTCTTAAAACACATTTACATAAATACTAGGCCTATACAAAAGGTAAATAGAGATCATACAAACAATAAGAGACAAATTTATTACTATAGGCCCAACAAAGTATTGTTTATGTTTAAAATACAAAAGGAAAAATTGATTGGGTATACAATGAGTTTTTGGCTTGCAATACACAAAGTTAATGGTCTATCTGGTTCACGGAAATGAGATGTCTGCAATAAAGTCAATGGTGCATAGGCTCTAATTGGTTATTCATTTTGTATTATATTATACTCAACAGTATAAATCGATTTTCTTTTCTTTCGTTCTGTATTTGCTATGTGCTTGTGTAAGTTTCCTGCCGTTCAGAAGGAGTATTGCTAAAACAAAAGCAGGAGTGTAATAGAGTTTTGCCATCAGAATTGAAGTCGAGTTAAGCACAGACTTGAGTCAGTTTGGCACTCATTTAGATGCATATTGTTCAATATGTTTTTTTTAACATGATAAATGAATGATATTAAAATATTTAAAAATTGCTTTTATTGATAACGACAGATTAAAGAACCCTCTCATTAGTTACATAAATAACTATTGTAGGCCTAGATTTGTAAAGTATTTGAATTGTATATTATGTATGTATATATTATATACTCTGTAAATTGTTGTATATAATAACTAACTTCAAAACAACAGTTTATAGCAATTTCTGTTTTTTAGATTGTTTATTTAATACTGGGAGGCGCAGTTTGAATATCATTGTTTTACCAACCATCTGGTTTGAATCGTTCATGGTTTGGTACAACCCTAGTGTATTCATACAATCGATAATCGATCTTAGTATTCCTATTTTTCTAAAAGATACTACTGTATTAGTCTTTACAATAAGCTAAATTTGTCATAATGTTTTTTAGTAATGTAAAACTTGGTTTTCATAACCTACAATTTAAAAATTAATAAATATTTTTTAAACAACACCTGCAGTATTGTTTTTTGTCATGTTTCATTTAAGTATAAGTAGTTTAAATTCAGTATTATATTTTAGCAAAAGTAACAAATATACAACACCCCACCGTGGGGTGGGGTGTCTTTGTAAAGTTATGATCAGGGTAGCAGAATTTCACCTCCCAGGCAAAACTGATGTTACAGCCAACAGGGGGAAAAATTCCGCCAGCAACACTTACTTGAGCTGCATATGTTTTCAGTAAATTAATAGTGGAATTAAACGTATATTTTCACATTTGTCAATTTAATTAGGATAAATTTGTCATGTTATTCTTAAAATATAGATTTTGTAACTATTAAGATCGCCTGTTAGTTGTTTTTGTTTTTACTTATGATTCAGTTTGTAACATTATTCTCAAAATAAAAGTTGTTAATACATTAGAAAACTTCATTGTTTGACCAAATTAATCTAGGAAACAAGAGTGTATGGACCCGAATGTCACCCCCCTTGTGAGTACAGCTCAAAATGTATGACCCGGAATCTTACCCCCCACTTGCATAGAAAACCTATTAGGTTCACTCCTTTATAAAAATTTATGTTCATTAATTTTTTTAAAACATTTTTAATAAGGAAAACCTGTTGTAATAACTATGATATGATGGTGAAAACTAAAAAAGTCATTTTTAACTAACTGCAAAATTTCTATGTAGTTTTCAAACTTAAATTGCAATTGTGATTGTTCCAGGGTTTATATTTATTATGTTATTCAACCATTTACACTTGCGATCGAGTAATTTAAAGTAAATAAAAATGTGGACTATGCTTGAAGCATAATTATCTTTTTTCTTCTGAGTATTTTATAGTTTAATATTAACAGTGGTACATAATAGTTAACTTTTTGAAGGTCTTACTCTAAAAAAAGCCCATTATATTCCAAATTAATGATTCTCACTAAATTCTATATCTGGTCAGAAAAAAATTTGGAGGGGGTGTTAAATTCTGACACAGCTACTCTGATAGCTTTACATGGGGTAAATTCCAGGCCTTACATCTATAGTTTTCTGTAACGTTAGTTACTGTACTGTATGTGGGTAGGAGGTAAAATACTGACTTTTATTGCTAATCAAAATAATGTTCTGTCTATTTTCATGAGACTTTGGGGGGTAAAATTCTGCCCAGGAACAAACATTAGAGAGTGCTCAGGTTTTTACGTCATAGTGACATTAGTTTCGGCACTCTTATATCCAGCAGAGTGACGATGTGTCATTTCATTTAGGTCTTCGTCCCCCTAGCATTTGATTTTGATTTATTTCTAGTGTTAGCTTTCAAAGATCTAGTGATTATTACCAACTGTCTTTATACCTTACCTTACCTTGATACCTTGAAGAAAGCAGTCGTTGACCAGTAGACTGGAATGGGCCTTGTCATTAAAAACTCAAAACGCACACGCATGCAAAAAATAAAAACTTTTACTTTGCTTGGAGAAGTGGCTGGTTTGGTTCCCTACCAAACATGGATTCATAGAAGCATAGATAGCATGGATTCATAGAATTCATCCACAGAGTAAAATGCCTGCTCTATAAAACGTTTCTTAATCCTGTTCTTGAAGATTGAGAGACTGCAGTTCTTGAGGTCTTCTGGCAGACTATTAAACATCTTAAAAGAGCTATACCTAAAGGACTTTACATTCTTTGCCAGCCTAAATCTAGGGGCGTTTAGGCAGTCTTTTTTTCTTGTGTTGTGCTCATGTATAACCCTCCTCACCTCCAGCTCATATTCTCTCTCTTTGCACCACAACATGCAAGCTGACATATACAGACAAGACAGTCATCACTCCTAACTAAAGTGGTCTACAATGTTCCTGCTGACTCTATACTCCTGAGATCGTTCTAAAAAACCCTCTTTTTGCCTGGTTAAAACTTCATCCCTTCTTGCAGCATGTCCCCATAGGAGGATCCCATATGCAATTATGCTGAGGGAAAAGGCAAAATAGGCATACATCACACAGTCAGGTGTTACGCTGTCTTGTAGTCGCCTTAACAAAAATATTACTCTGTTGAGTCTCTTCAAAACTATTTCAACGTGCTAATTCCAATCTAGGGCCCAAGTGGAAACCCAGTAATTTGGCCACACCTTGGTCTTCATTCTTCTTTAATGAGAAAAACCCACTTGCGTCTTCGCCTCATTTAGTGCCAACCCATTAGCCTGAAACAAGACCTTTGGCTTCATTCTATGCCAACTCAGTCTGTTCCCTCGCTGAGCCAAAATCCGCTCCCTTAGACATGATGGTCGAGTCGTCAACATAGATGATGGTTCTACCCGGGATGCAACAATCAAGGTCATTTTGATCATCACTAAAACAGCAATGGTCCCAGCATTGACCCCTGGGGGACGCCTATACCTTCTCTAAACCACACTCCCTTCCATCCGCTACTACCAGCTGCCTTGTGTTCGGAAGCTTGCCACCAACCTATTATTAGCCTGCCTGATCAGATACCCCCAGACTCTCCATCTTCCTCAACACAAGTTGGTGGCTGACACAGTCATATAGGCTTTTGACAGGTCACAAAAGACAGCTTCCACAACCTCATTATTGTCAATTGCGTCCATTAAAGGTACAGAACTGGAATACTCCATCCACGGTCGATCTTCCACTCCCATAAAAAAAACGGTTAGCTACCTTAGTAACCCCCCTGTTTCCTGTTACAAGAAACAAAGTCAGCTGATGTACCATCACTCTCACTGCCTCAAGTACCTTGGAAAGTATAGGCACCAGAGAGAGATTGGCCTATAACTGGAGGGGGAATCTCGGGGACCCTTCCGTAATAAGCATATACTAACCTTATTACGGATGCTTTGTATATTCAGGTGTATAAGATTAAAAGCCTGCTTCCTCTCCACTCTCTTCTTCCTCGTCCCCGGATAGTGGTGTACTGGTACTAACCGCCATAGCCATGCTCCGCAAGGGAAGAGAACGATAAAAATAATAAATATAATGTTCCATAGATCTGATCCTGATGTATGAAATACTGAAAAGTGAACTAAACTCATAACTAATAATGCCCACGGTTAATTTTCATAAAGCACCAACCAAATCATTTTCAAAAACGTGGTTTATATCAATTTAGCAATTTTTATATTAAGTATTCTCGAGAATAACTTAGAAACTTTTTAAGCAAGCCGTCAGGGCAGAGCCTTAGGAGAGTGCATATTAAAATAAAAAATATGCCTATCTCTATTAAGCCTGATGTGGTATATTGGCTCTACTCTTGGAAAAAATCATCTTATAATTTGTAGCTTTCACGTTATTGACATACTCCAAACAAACAGTTAATGCCAATATAGTTAATGCGTGATTGATCACCAAACAAAACTTACAAATACACAAACATTCACATAAACTCTAAAGTGTTGTGTGATTATAAATAATAAACTCATTTTTCGTGTCAAGTTTATGTCCGGTGATACTGATGGATAGTAACAGTAAGCACCAGTAAGTGTCGATGACGACGAAATTTTGTTTATATTATTTTAGATTAAATTTCAATACACTTTGCAGTAATCTATCGATGTGTTCGTATAAAAGTGGAGGTATGGAAACCTTCTATTAATCACCAACTCTGCCTTTTGTGTATGTGATGAACAAAATATTATGTTTACAAATCTTACGTATAAACATTGATTATAGAAACAACGTCCATTATGGGGGTCCATAGTCAACCTTAAATGAGTTTAAAATATTAATGCTGATTTATCTCGTTAGTTGTTCTCAACGAATCCAGAATATAATATTATGCATTTTTGTGTATATGAGTAGATCATAAAGAAGAACACAGAGGTTTACAATTTTAAACGTTTGAGATTTGAACTAGTTTTGGGAATTGTGGGTAAAGCATATTGCCAACAGATATGTTATTTATCTGTTTTTAAATTTAAAGTAAAAATTGCTAATTGAATGTTTAACTCATCAAACAAAATAATAAAACACATTTACAAGCATGAATTTAATTTAGTTTGTGTTTCATATCTTTAATTTCCTGCCAATAATTTGAATTATATTAAGATTGTATTTTTTTAGGTTGGCAGTACATAACAGTTCTAGCACCAACATCTTTTAAGGTCATTCGGAATCTACTGGAATCTGTCAAAAGTGGCGTTCTCTTCTGTCAATAAAATTCAAGTTCGTGAATATGAAAATTCTTTAGTAATCATGTTAATTTCATCCGATTTCTCTTGAGTGTGTGTTCTAACGATAGTGCTTTAAGCGTGTTTTCTGCGGCATAAACTTTTTGGTGCGGATAAGTGCTGTAAAAAGAGATTTTTCTCTTTCCTTTGTCAGGAACTGAACAAAGACAGAGGTCTTTGTTTGTAAACAAGTAAAATACAACTTGTGTTTTTACCTTCAAATTTTTGGTAGATAGATTGTCTGGCTATAGTAATATAAGATCTGTAATGTACCCATCGTATTCTGAGGATAAAATCACTCTGAGGATAACTGGCTATAGTCTATTACATTCAAGAAGAAAAGGAATATTTTTGCACCCAAAAATAATGTTCAAGAACTTTAGATCTCTCCTTCAAAGTCGAATAAATCTTTGTCCGCTACCAAATCATTTTTAAACGACTATATTGTATTCAAACTCGAGTACCTGTGATTAGGCTAAGTCCTTTTTAAACAAAATATTAAAATATTGGCAACCCATAAATAAGTGGCTTGCTTTGTTTGTGGCTGTGATATACCTAAAAAAATACTACGATGAAGCTATTGGAGAGTTCACGATTTGAAGCTTTGAACAGTGCCCTCGCAATTGACTCTGGGGACTGCAAAATTGTGGGAAGGTGAGTAAAACTTAATGTAGTACTTTAGCTAACTCTTTTAAAGCCAAACAAAATTAGGCCTATGGGTAGACTTTAATATCTGTTGTTAAAAACAACTGAATAAAATATATAGAAATGATTGATAAATCGATTATTAGATAGGCTAGGCCTATATTGAATATAAAACGATATATCGAATGACATAACTCAATCTAATAAAAAATATCGATCGATATTTTTATTGGCAGAGGATACGCATCCGGTAACCGGACGGGGTTTAGGCGTCCGGCAGTTACTGTCATGACCTAACCTAACCAACCAAACTTGCTGATGATGAAAAAATTGAATGAAGGCTAAATTCTCTTCATAAAATAAAATTATAATTGCAAAATAAACAAAAGATGTACAGTTAAGAAAAAAATGGCATTCAAAGCAAAATCTTTGACAAAAAGTTAAAGTTAATGTTGGGATTCGAACCAGAGGGACCTCCTGCATATTAGCTGAGCACTTCACCACGAACACCGATGGCTGTACATCGCATCGTTGTGGTAGTGACGTTCCGGGCCCTCACAACCCGGTGACGTCACTGCCGGACGCCTAATCCACGTCCGGTCACTGGACGCGTATCCTCTGTGATTTTTATTTGGTTGTTTTTAACAACAGATATGAAAGTCGGATAGGAGTAATTTAGTCTTAGAGAAAATTATTTGGAACTTACACCTTGGCCTAACGATGAACAGGCCACCACAATATCACATCCTCACACATGCCTCCTTTAATTTTCTCACCAAACAAAATTTGTTATGTTAACTGTTTTGGGCTGCACTTTTCTGTAGGTCCTTCGATCGATATTTTCATTCGAATGAGTGTAGGACCTAAAGTAAAGTGCAGCCCTTTTTTGTGGTATTTAAATATATATCCTGAATAATTTGAACTAATATCACTGGTTCTAAACTCAGACTGGACAAGTAATTTTTCTAATGAAAGTTTAACGCTAGAGCTTTCAACTGCGGGATCTTCAAATTTATAACAAAAATTTGGGTTTTCTTTTCCGGGTTCGTTTGGCTCTGCTACCCGACCGATTTTTATGTTTGACGTCTCAAATTGAAGGTACCCACGCATATATTTGCCACCAAGCATCAACATATATTTATCTATAATCCCACTTGGCTTATACACGTAAAGAAATTTGCTCCCCATGTATTTCTTATAGGAGTTAACTTGGTTTTTCTTTTCCGAGTTCGTTTGGCTCTTCTACCCGACCGATTTTTATGATTGATGTCTCAAATTGAAGTTATCCATGCACAGATTTCACATCAAGCATCGGCATATATTTACCTACCGGTACTGTATTAGCTATAGCCTACATGAAAAAAAAAATAATAATAATAATTTGATTAATTTTCAAATTCTTACTTAAATTTAAGATGTATTTCACCAGTTATAATTATCTAATCCTATATATTTTGGTCTAAGAACCTTTAGTGGCATACCGGCTTTCATTAAGCTATTATTTATTGAAATCGGACGAGTTTCAAGCAAACGCGAGGTGAACAACCAACATTAACATTATTTTGTATAAGGAATTTTCTATGATTAAAAATTAATAGCTCCAGTATTGTTAATGTTTTTTATAAGTTTTAGACTCAAAATAATCAGTAAATTTTAGGCTATAATTTGAGCTGTTGTGTTGTTGATCGTTTGAATCAGTTACGTTCAAGACTGTATTACGGTACTCAATCAAAAATCATAAATTTGATTTTTTCTTGGATATTATATTTACTTTAAAGCTGCAGAGCAGCATAGGTCCTCTAGTTAAGTTTTAAAAGTTATTGTAAAGTAGGCCTATCCTATAAGCTTTAGCCAGAAGTTAAATATAAATTAGACCTAATTAAAAATATTGTTTTTGTAGCGCTAGGCTATTGCGGGTAGGCCTACAGTTCTGCAGAGAACCTACGATATATTATCAGATGAATAATGATAAATATCTAGGGATCGATATTTCTTTGGTTTGATATTAATATTGTAGGTAAAACTTATTGAATTTAATACCATAACTTAAAAAAGACCATGCTATTAATAAAAACAATAATAAAACTTTATCAAAGCTTTTTCTTTATTTTATCTTTAAGATAACTTAGTTTTATCTTATAGATATTCAAGAATAAAAATTGAAGAAACCATTAATTTTTCATTTCTATGTGATTAACTTTGGCCTTACTTAGGGCCTAACTTATACCTACCATAACTTAATATCAACAGTACCTACCTATTGAAAATTGAAAACAGTTTTTGGTTGAATATTGTTAGTTTTATTTATTAAATATGAATAAAAACGTAAACAAATCATAATTCAATTCAATGTTTAACTTACGGCCTACATTTGGGGTTCTCTTGAATATTAAATTGAGTAAACATCGATATTTATTGTTCTTCATCCAAAAATATACATCGCAGGTTCTCTGCAGAACTGTACACAAATAAACGCATGTTTGAGCAGTGATCGTGTTTCTGTCACTTTTTCACATTTTCAAAGAGTTTTGCCTTTCGCCGATCAAGTTATTAGACCTAGGCTATAAGCATTTTCATGATGGTGTGGCCTCTGGATCGTCTGAATTAACGTTTTGGACAGAACAAAAAATTTAAACCACTATACTATAAGCATTGACTGGTAGCGTTTATAGTCTAAATCCTTAAACTGGATTTTAAGAAAAATTTTACAAACAAACCTACAAACAGACATTGCTTGGTTAGGGTACGTATGGTGGTATAGCATTTGTTTCCACCTAGACATATTTACAATGTATTAGGAAGGATCTTTTTTTTCTTGTAGGGCAAAAATTGAGAATTTAAAGATATGTTAAATCACATTGAAGTCTACTGCCAAACAAAATTTAAGTTAATACTGTAGGTAGACCTTAAACTATTATCACAGTTTTAAAAGTTGATCAAATCAACAATTTGATTAACTTTTTGAGAGTTAGCTTATTTTATTAACTTTAGAGAGTAGAAAGATTAGCAATTTGAAATTTAAGAAAACACGACAAAATTAGGAAAGTTGAACTTTAAGGCATTAGGCGAAGGCATGAAGGTTTGACAATAAAAATTAAAAGCATATTTTTGATAATGGAAGGTCTTTGAGATCATAAAAAAACAGCCATTGGAACATGTTTAAAAGTGTTATAAATGCCACATATAGGCCTACTGTGTTTATCCAACTAGTTTGTTTTCCAGTAGATTGTGTTGAGTAAGCTAACAATTCTTGTGAGATGCCCTGTTTGGTAATCAGGCAGTAATGTTCAGCTTTCACCTAGAGTTGAAGGAAAAGGGAGGGGTATGGTGGGGTGGGAGAAAGCTAAATGAAGAGCTGCTTTGTTTACATAGCACTGGCAATGAACTCTTGTTGTCCAGCCAATCCTTATAATTACCCAACTCATTGTATTTTGTTACTATCTATTGCTTAACGCTAGTTTTTTCATACATCTATGGGAAGTTGAGCATAAAAACAGATAAACCGAACTGGAAAAACAACTGATAGACTAAATTGGTTTGGTATTGACTGTTTTTAAAGTTTTTAGGTTGCAATTATTTTTTAAATTACACTCAAATTTCAATAACTTTTATTTGTACAGGGTGTTTTTTTAAGTGCAACCCTAATAATTACAACTACCGTGAAACCCTTTTCTTTACTTCATTGTTGATCAGCTAATATGCGTTGCTACATAGATATCTATGAGGTTTAGTATTAAGAATTTATAGTAATTAAGACTCAACGTGATATTTTCGCAACCTCATATAGAGTATTCTATGTACTGTAGGTCTACGTACTTTTGGTTTCAACAAGTCTGATTTCCTTAAATTAATGTTCAACAATTCTATGAAAAACTGATTTTAGCGAATTTCCCATATAGGGAATAAGCTATTACCGTAGTACTCATGGTAAGACCTGGACCCGAGACCGATTTAATTTTTCATTTTGAGGTCCCTAGAGGCCAAAAACACCATCCGTTCAAATTCATATATATATATATATATATATATTTATATATATATTTATATATATATATATATATTTATATATATATATATATGTGTCCGTTAGCGCGATAACTCGAGCAAAAATGATCCGATTTTGATGAAATTTGGTACAAACGTGTAAACCTACGTTTATTCGAACGAGTTCGCGATCCAGCATAATCGGACCATGGGAACGGGGGTTTATGGGGGGTTTTATGGGGTAAAAATGGGTTTTTCCCATTTTTAAACCTAAAAACCAAAAATTTTGCGATTTCTTTCTAAACCGTTTTGTAGAGCTTAAAAAAATAAATAATTTAGTATGTTGAAGCGCTGTTGTATGCCTAACGGTCACGGAGAAAATTCAAAAATAGTGTAATTAAAAATTCCCATGTTATTCTTATGGAGAAAATGAAAATTGTTGTAGTTTACTTGTTTATGGGTATATATTGATAAAATTTGGCAAATTTATTTAATTCATCCTATACTATTGACGTATGGTCAAAAAACACTTTTTACCTTCCCCGTAGCAGCAAACCTAAGCACTCGTTAAATCTAATGTTATTTAAATAGGGAATAATATGTCTTATTTATGGAAATATTTTAGTAAAAATGTAATCAGACGAGTTGAAATTCGCTTAGTCTGCAGGTTTGCTGCGGCGGGGGTATTTAGGTAGGTACTGGAATCACACATGGAAACATTTTAAATCTATCTTGGCATAAAACCATTGATTTACTTTTAATGCACAATAGGTATCTAGGTACTCCTTTAGCTTGCGAAAACCCCTTTGTTAAATCTTATTCGCAATAAATTACCAATATACTAAAATTCATAGATAACTTTGCAACAATGAATATGATAAATCATTGTGGGGTTTTCTTTAATTTAGGATTTTCAATAAGTTTTTTTTTGGTCCAATATTTTGAGGAAGCATGTTAGCAATCAGAAACTCTGTCAAATTTTTTTTATTTACCACTTACAAATTTGTTGTAGGCATAGATTGAAA